AAGAAAAGGCCCTGACTAAACAGCAGGGCTCTATTTCAGTATTAACTATAGAAAAAAAGACAGCAACAGCTGACATCAAATCTTTGCCGAGCCCAAGGATAATCATAAATAAATAACATAGTGAAAATAAATATATTGCAATGCTCAGTACAGCAGCATCCAACCGTCTCTAATCATAAAAAAACATAATAAAAATAAATGTATTGCAATGCTCAAAACAGCAGCATCCAACAGTCTCTAATCCTTGGATATTACATGTCACTGCATGCATGCACGGAGCAGCTGTAGCGCGGAGATCATCATATCATTCTGTCTTGTATTACTTAACAACAACAAAATAACAAAAAAAAACGGCTCGTTCGCGGGCGCGAGCCGGCTCCCGTCGTTCACTTAAAAGAGCCGGCTCTTTGAGCCGGCTCGTTCGCGACCGACACATCACTACACAGCGTGCTGTCCCCTCAGAGGAAGTGGGAAAACGGGATAAGACTCTGGACACCACGCTGTCTCAATGATCCACACTGTTAATATGAGAGGAAAATAAATGTTTTAGAAAATGAAAAATATGAAGTTAACAAATAAAACACAGCTCAGGGACGGTAGGTTTTCCTACAAAGTTAACTCAGCCTCCATTGATTTTCATATCAAATTAGCGTGTTAATAAAATAAGCTATCATGGCTTATACTTGCATATCTAAACAGAATCATGAAAGCCTGTTGGTAGAGTCAGGCACACGAGTCCGTTTGAGTGTGTGCGCCGGTGTCTGAACGCTCACTCACTGCTAGCTATGTAGCTAACTGTTAGGCTACTTAGGTAGCAAAAGCTAACTTTCATAGCACAGCTTTTCTTCTCACTTAATACAATAAAGAAACAGACCGTATAGTACAGCACAAACAACACAAATGATCAATACTTACATATATTTTCACTTGTAGTATTATAATAATTGAAATGCTGGTTCTTCTGGGGGTGTTCTATCCACACTCAGCCAGAGGTGGGAGTAAGTCCTACATGTGCAAGTCATGAGCAAGTCTCAAGTCTTGACCTACAAGTATCAAGCAAGTCCCAAGTCACTGTGGTGAGAGTCAAGCAAGTCAAGTCAAGTCATTGCTCAGGTCAAGTCAAGTCAAGTCAAGTCATACAAAATTCTGATGAATAAGCCCAGTTTCCGCATTTAAATCAGTTAAAAGACAGTGGTTATGAAAATGGATTTAACCCACACTATGATCTTCATTACATACACAGTTAATCATTTGCAATCTAATTTAGACCGATGACAATCATATTAGATTAATATTAACCCTAGAACTGCAGACAATATAGCTAGGACTCAATCAAACAGTGTTCAAAAAGGCAGAATTCCAGGTAAGAAAATCATATATGGCATTTGCCATTACACATATTTAATTTAAATGTCTGTTAACACTAGAACTGCCAACAGCGTCAGCACCTACTGTACATAGATATCATTTTCAAATCATTTAATTTGTTCCTCTTCATCATTTCCTTATAAACTAAGTAGGACGATTTAAAACTCACTTAATTGGGTTAATTTAGAAATTGCTTCAGTTTATCATCATAACAGATCAAAAAGTTCAGATTCATTTTACAATAAATCAAGGAATGATGCACTTCTACAAACAAACACAACATAATTAAAACATTTAAACAAACTACTAAAAGTAGATGAACTACATTATTCAACAGTTTACAGTAACTTCTGATGATAACACAGGGGAAATAAACGAGGCATCTCTTTTCCTCTCTCTCTCCCTCTCCTGACAGCCCGTCAGTATCAGGGTTAGTCAAAATGAATCCCTTGGCGGTTCTAGTGTTCATTTACCGTTTTGTCTTCTCTTTGCAATGCTTAATCGATTTGAAACCAAGTCTAACGTAGCTTAAACTTAACGTTAGCTTCCCACCTTTCTCTGTGGGTTTTTTTGTAGTGACGAATGAAGTTGGATGTTGTGGTGGTCGTGTCACTGATCTTTATGCTGCAGACCCTGCATACCGCTGTTCTCTTCTTATTAGCGTCATCGACAACATAATCCTTGAATCCAAACTTCACTATTTGTGGAGTAACGCTAGCCGCTGCCATGTTAACTGACACTCCTGCCGTCTAGTGGGTTGCCAGGTTTGCGCGCACGGCACTATAATCACCCAATCACGTTTTTCGAAAAAACTAAACGTAATATCTCACTACAAAAACAAACGCAAATATTTAATTTTAAACAGTCAAGTCCTTTCAAGTCATCTGTCTCAAGCTTAAGTCAAGTCTCAAGTCATGAATACCAAGTCAAAGTCAAGTCAAGTCTTTTATCAATGTTAGTCAAGCAAGTCTCAAGTCAAAAAATATGCGACTCGAGTCTGACTCGAGTCAAGTCATGTGACTCGAGTCCCCACCTCTGCGCTCAGCTACCGCACCGCAGCTGCACTGTACAATCGCTGGAGGACTGGGCTGTCACTCAAAAACTGAGTAGCCAATGGGGACGCACCCCTGAAAGTCCCGCCCACCTGGGACGTTTGTGTCAGAATTGAAAACAAAAAATGAGGGAGCGCAAACGAGAGAGCTGCAGCAAGAGCAAAAGTCTGATCATTGAGAAAGAAGCAAAGAGAACTGCAAACAAATAGATAAGTTAAAACAAAGAAAAAAGACTTGCAGTTTACATGATAACACAAATGATTTGTTTGCAACTTATAGTTTTATTTTTTTAATTACATTTATTTTGCTTGACTCAGTTTTTTTTTTCTCTTAAACTCTTAGTTTTGCTTGATTCTGAGAAAGTGTTGCTTTATCTTTATGAAACAAAACTAATCCCATAGAGTCACGCACACAATGGTGTTCCTACAATGAGTTGAATTCAATTTAGGCTAAGATTTAGTGTTTGATATTTTAAAGAACTCTTGGATTATTTTCAATACCTTCATGACACGTGGCCTTATGACTTCAAATCAATGCCTATTATTGGATTGTAGTCCACCTACCGTTCAATATGATAATAAAAGTTTTCCATTTTTCTCAAAACATTCCATTTAATGTTCCCCATTGACTTCTGATACATACCAGATATTATTATAAAATTAAAGTTTAGAAGAATATTAAAATACATATAATAAAATATTCTATGAAAACATATGTACAATGTTATTGAACGGCAAAATGGAAGAGCTATGCAGTAATAAATGTCTTGTCTCGTTTGAGTAAAGGGTAGAAGAATATCCACCTACTGATAATACCATTTTAAGAAAGATTACAGACTTGTTTTTTTGTTTTTTTAAAGAAAGAGGAACTGTTAGCACACTCCAGACATAAGCAGGTCTTTGCATGCAGTTCTTTTGCCCTATCCCCTAAAACAAATCCGCTGTCATGTGTTATCAAGAGTTAGCAAATCAGCACATAAACTACAGAAAGTCACTGTTGAATTTCTGTTCCTTTTTTTTGGACGACTGTTGGCACCATGCTGTACAGTTGTCCCACAAATCAATTGCAGCTTCTCAACCAAAATAAACTATAAAGCAAAACAAACCATACTGGTGCAACATGTTACATTTGAATTGCCTAATATGAGTCCACTCAGGGACCAACTGAGCCATGTCCAAAGTGGGGGAAAAAAACATGACATTATTTGACAATCATCGAAAATCAAACATTTTAATAATCACAGCAGCATATTTTAGCAGAAAGACAAACTGGCATACTATTAATTGTATATCAAATATCACAGACAAGAGGTTGATAAAAGCTGCAAACTAGCATCCATATTGGTTTCTCCGACTTGCTTTCTATTGTATACTTAGTAGGAGTAGGTAGTGTTTACATTGTCTTGTCAATGGCTGTTCATGCAAGAGTGCACTTCAGTTACTGTGTGTTTACTGCCCCCTACTGTACTATATCTGCTGTTACAACACATGAAGGTAAAATAATGATTTGGGCTCTTATTTGGGTATAATCATAATGGTTTTCCATTTGAATACATGTCGGATTGGAGTGAGAATGTAGACATTGCTTATTTCCAAAAGCCTGGACCCAAAACGGACCTGCATATGCTCATTCGTTGTTTTTTACCAGGCTGCACAAAGTGGGCGACCGTGGCCGTGGGCCAAAGTAGGACCACCATAAATCCGGATTGGCCCAGCAGATATTTATAGTAAATATAAATTACTCATGTGCTGCTTTTTTATTTTTTATAATCTGATCACGTCAGGCAGAGTGACAATTTGCACAAATATAATTTCATTAAAGGAAAATTGGGATCCTATTTTGCATCTTAATGCGTTTTTCCCCATGGCCAACTATTCCGTAGTTATAAATTATACAAACCACCGTCAATACAAAGAATAAGGCTGGAAAATGCAATTTCCCACTTATGTACATGTACTGAATAATTATTATGACAACTGTACAGTGGGAGAAGCTGTAAACATTATAAGAATGGCTACATCTCTGAAATATATGTAAGACATGGCATTGGCTATAATGGTAATTTTAGTAAACTACATCAAGTCAGAAATTAAAACATTAGATAAGCAATGCATTTTTCAGTAAACTAAAGGAACAAAACTACTACTGCTGTATAATATTGCAAACACTTTGATGATTATTTAGAATTTTCAGTTTAAAAAAAAAGCTTTAAAACTTATATGGGAAAATTGCTGTGTTGGACCTGATATCAATAAGAGAGTACTGTAGAAATACATATACAAAACCCAGTTAAAATTAATATAAAATAAAACAATAAAATACATTTAAATAAAAATAAAAATAAGACAATAATTCCCCTCACATATTTTCAGTAAACACACCAGCATACACAGATATACTGTACACTGGCCTTCTGTACACAGACCACCCACACATACACAACACACACACACACACACACACACACACACACACACACACACACACACACACACACACACACACACACACACACACACACACACACACACACACACACACACACACATAGGCAGAGGCAGAGGCAGAGTGGAATTTGAGAAATGTGAGTCACACCCATTAGTAAGGCTCAAAACATTTAAATACCCCCACAATGCATGTCAACTCCTACTCTGAGAGAAAGCTGTTAAATAATGTAAATTCTACTACAAACCCTTTGTTTTGTATCATGTAAATAAATGAATACATGTCAAACTATCATTTACCAATGACTAATGAAATTCAAAATAAAATGCAATCCTTTAACCGCTTTATAAGATATAAAAGGCTATAGGTTGAATACCCTCCAATAGATGGTGACCTTGTGATTTTCTGAAGCTTGTGTGACAAGGTTGCGACCTCTGTGTTTGTTTGTATCTCTCTTGTCCAATAAAATCATCTCATACAAAAGATTTTTCCTGTGGCTTCCCCTCTCCGGCTGCACCTGTACCTGGGTTGTCTTTCAGCACTCCAGCAAAAGTAGGCAGTCTTCCTCTGCTTTGCTGAGAGGACCCCAAATGCAGCAGAAAGCCCCCCACCATGAGCAGCAGGCCGGCCCCCCAGCCCAGGTACAGCGCTGGGCCTAGCTCTCTCTTATAAGGCGCTGCGATATTGGGATCATAGAAGTCCCGGATAGTTGCATGGGCGGTCCAACAGATGGGTATCATGAACGCCAAGCCAGCCACCAGGAAGAGCACCCCTGCTATCCTGCCCACCCGAACCTTGGAGGCCTGGTTACCATCACCCATGCAGTGAGTGCACTTGGCCCCCGCCACCCCGAGCATGAGGGCCAGGAGGCAGAGGAGCAGGGAGAGAACAGTGAGGCCCCGGGCGGCTTGGGCAGTCACAGGAAGGGCCAAGGTGGAGTCATAGGTCTTGCACTGGATCTGGCCTGTGGTCTGAGACAGGCAGTTCATCCACAGTCCCTCCCACACCACCTGGGCAATCACCAGCTCTCCCCCCACGAAGGCGGACACACGCCAAAGAGGAGCCGCACACACCAACGCCCCGCAAACCCAACCCAGCACCGCCAACACCAAGCCCAGCAGCTGAAGACCTGTTGAAGCCATGGCTGCTGAAAGACACTTGAATGTGCTCTCAATGTAAGAGAAATGTTCCTTAGAATAATCTCAGTCCAATCCCTACGATACTGCTGAGCACTCAGTAGATGAAAGTCAAGCCTTCACAGAGTTTATTCATTCAGTAAAATGTCCAGTGACTGTGAGAGCCCCTTCTTCTCTTCAGTTTCTTGTTCACCACCTGTTGTTAGATGACAGTTTTTATTACATTAAATTCATGGAAGCACATTTTAAATGAACACATTAGATGAATACTCCACCCCCCAAACAGGGTCATTTGTATATAATTGTGTATCCAACCTGGAAATTGTAAAGAAAACATTGTTTTACTCATGTCTCCACAGGGAGTAGGAGCGTTTTAAATGAAGTGTATAGTGACATTTTAAAGTAGAAAGCATATGACTGGAGAGAGTTTGTCAACAAATGTTTTGATTACATTTTGTGGCACCCATTTGCTTCAATTCCTCAATAATTTCTGAATAATTTACTGTTCTACGTACATAAGAAAAACTAAGTTTACATCAGAAATTCAAGCTAACAGAGATAAGTAATTGATACCTAAATTATTATTTTTGCGTTGAAGCATTCCTTCAAGTCATTATAGATCTGAACTAATGGCATGACATTTTTTTTTTGTGACATTTGTACAACATATAATTACGTAATGTAACAGTAAAGTAATTAAGAATAAAAACATTGAAAGTTTTCAATCTGGACCTGTTCTTCTGATTTTCCCAGTTACAACTAAATACAACTTTTAAAATCTTACCTTTTAATCAATAATCTCACAATCAGATGTCCAAAGAGAGCAGGTTGATGGTTCTTCGTCGTTTCTGGGTTGTATAGTCGTGTGATGTGAGTAGTTGGTGTCTTTCTTCTGTTATGACTGGCCAGCTTGTCTCTCTGGATTTCATACACAGGGGTGTGGGAGGGCAGCAGTGTGTAATACTGCATACTAAACACACACACACACACACACACACACACACACACACACACACACACACACACACACACACAGCTAGTTATGCAAAAAAAATACAGCACAAGGACACTTTGTTACAGACATTGTTGATTGCTACCATGTTGTCATATCTTGGAGTCGGAGGGGCCATATGGAGCCGAGGAATGGAGCCGAGGAGGAGATTGGAGACCCGACAAGTGGAACATTGAACAGCCCCATTGTACAAAACTATCAAAGCGAGTGAAGAAAATCGACTCTAATGTCTTTATTAGCTAGCAGCACTTTAGTTGTTGATATCATGCAGGTGGGTAAATGGAGAGTTGCTCTTTAGAGGCACTAGATGGCATTAGAGAGACTACAAGGATTCCAACTCCAGCCTTAACATCCCGCCCTTCCAGGCGCTTGGGTCCAGAGTGCCTATTATTTGCATTTTGCCTATTGCCGAAAGAGGTTTTGTTGATTAGCTGAGAAATAGAATTCCTGACTGTACATCAAGCTGGCAGCAATGTCTGGGTCAAATTGTATTTGTCTTTGATAGCTGCAATGCAAACTTGTTGAATAGCGTGTTTGGCCACAAAAGATTTAACACTGGTCTGATTATATTGTAATTTCACATCTTTGTCTAATTTAAACAATATTTCAGTGTGAAACATGGAGGGACAAAAACATGACTGCTTTGAAAGTGCATGCCAAAAGGGGATTGGTCCTTTTGCATGAAGTCTCCAGCCTTCGAACAGTTTAAGTTTCACTTTCCAGGGAAACCATTGAGTTAAAAAAGAGGGGAGGGGGGAGTGACACAGCACAAATAAGTACAGGCACACAGTGATCTGGAAGAAAAGGTTGAGAAAAGCAAAGACAGATTTTGTGCAATAAGTCAGTTTTGACTTGTGTTTCAACAACAAGATGGGTTCGAGCTCAAGAGAAGGTGAGTGTCTTTACTTGTGTTTAAGCGTATATGCAGGCTTTTAGATTAAATTAGATACTTTATTGTCATTACATAATGCAAGCAGAGTAACGAAATTAAGAGGGTCTAACCAGAGTGCAAACAGTCAGTTATATACACATCTATCAGCGGTCTGTACAAAATAAATGCACAATATAAGTAAAGATATAGATGTAAAATGCATAAATAAAAATAAATACACTGTGGCGTATATATATACAGTATATACAGCAGTATATGTGCAAAGATCAACGCGCTTCAGCACAGCACACAACAACACTTTTTGTACTCCTTATGTGAGCTGTTGTAAAACCAAAGAATTCAAAGCAACTGCCTCTCTTTGATTTGTTCCACAGACTGCGACCTGAGGATCGTCCTGCTGGGGAAGACTGGATCAGGAAAGAGTGCATCAGGGAACACCATCCTGGGACACAATGTTTTCACCTCAGAGGCTTCTCCATCCTCTGTGACCAAGACATGTAAAAAGAAGTCTGGCTACTTTGATAAAAGAACTGTGACTGTAGTCGACACTCCTGGTATCTTGGACACATTGATTAAGGAAGAGCAGCTTAAAAGTGAAATGTCTGAAAGTCTCAGACTGACTGACCCCGGACCACATGTGTTCCTGCTGGTGATCAGACTGGATGTACGGTTCACAGAAGAGGAGAAGTCTGCCATCAAGTGGGTCAAAGACAACTTTGGTGAGGAAGCCTCCAAACACACACTGGTGCTTTTCACCAGGGGGGATGAGCTCAAGGAGAAGTCCATTGAGACTTTTTTATTCGAGGGACCTGAACTAAAGGAGTGTATCAGTGGTTTTACGGCTGGGTACATTGTGTTTGAAAACACATGCAGAGGTAATCGCACTCAGGTGGCTGATCTGTTTGAAAAGATAGACAAGATGGTGCAGTTGAATGGTTACAACCCTTATACCTGGAGCATGTACGAAGAGGCCCAGAGAAAGAAGAATTCAAGAGAATGGCGGAGCATGTGGGCAAACCATTTGAACAAGTACGGTACTAGTTTGTTAACTGCAGCAACAATCGCAGCTGGTGTTGGTGTTGGTGCAGCTGCTGGTGCAGCTGCTGGTGCTGCTGTGGCAGCAGAAGAATTAGTAGTAACACCACTTCTATGGGGCGCAGGTGGAGGGATTTTAAAAGGCCTTGGGTGGTGGGTAACTAAAAAGTGAGAGTCATGTCATTATCCTTTAAAGTTACAGAGAGGAATTTTAACCTGTCTTTGTGTAATAGATGATGCCTCTGTATGACTATACTGTATACATAGTAAACAAGACCATCAATCCAAGTCAAGATTGGGTTTTTTTATGAGGTTATTCTGAATACTTGTCATTGGTGCATATATGTCTGATTTTGGCTGAGGCAGGGGATATCATACAGGCACCAGAACCAGAACCTGCAGTCAGAGCAACACAAAAGGAAAGTTCCTCGTAGTAACTTTAAGCAAACTTGTGAAGTGATTCCATTGATTGCCTTTTTTGAATACATAGGAAAAATGTCATTGCTTAATGTGCATTCATAAATATCAAACACAACCTGCATTGAACGATATATAAACTCTGAATAACCAATCTTATATTGATTCTGTACACTCTTATCCTGAAAATGATTTTGTATGGAAAACACTATTCTTCCTTGTGTATGTTTTACTAGTCATAATGAAATAAAACAATGTGGTTTTAACTTTTGAAACTATTGTTTGATGTATTAAAAAAAGCGTTATTAGAAATTATTCCCTGTTGTGTAAGCAAGAAATCTCACCACATCTTCCAGGGCTCCACACTGCTGTTTGTTTTTCATAAACCAAGTCTGGTTGATTGCATAAGATAAAGACCCACTGTGGATCTTGTGTAAAAAAAAACTAAAATCACTTATGGGACAATGCTAACTGAAAAACATGAACTTCAGTGTACATAACACCACATTTATCACCCATCAGTCTCAAGTCAAAAGTCCAGGTGATATTAAGATAAAACTCCTACACAATTACAAGTTATATTAGGATCTACCTGGGTTGTTTTACATGAAAGGTCACAAGGTTGTTTGAAACTCCTGTTACTGTGCAAGCACAATTCAACAGCTGCCAAAATGCTTTTATGATTGCTAATGGTTTTATCAAAGTTGATCAATGTAACCAAACCTACATTCAATATTTGTTTTGTAAAGATATTTAACAAAGAGGTGCAGCTTAGCGTGAACAGAACCGCAGCCTTGTTAAAAAAAATCTCAAAGGGGACGACTGGTAATACTTTAATACAGGCACCACATCAGAAAAGCTACTTTCTGTGAACCATTCTCTACTGCTCATTCTGTCATTGTAATCCACAAAAGTCAATCTCAACTCTTTCATAGACTTTTTCTTGAGTAGAAAGTAGTTCCAAGGTTAACGTTTAGCCACTTATTGTGTTGATTATAAACCGGGAAGTTGTTACCAAAAAAGTTGCTACACTTTTTCCAATGAAGGGCACACTATTCACCAAAATCCTGAATCTGATCGTAATAATGACACGTCTCCTTTAAGAGGTGGAGGCACAACTGAGACTAGGGTGTTACATGCTTTAGCATTTAAGATGTCTAAACTATTTCAACAATGTTTTAAGATTTCTGAAAGTTTCACTTTCCAGGGAAACCACGTGGTGGAGAAGACAGAGGGTTTCATTTCACTGGAAACCACTGAGGGAGGGAGAGGGAGGGAACATAACTAACACACAGCAATGCAGAGTGTGATCTGGAAATAAAGGCTAGACAACACTGGCAGATTTGGGGGATAGAAGTCGGTTCTGTGTGGTTCAACCTCTACAACAAGATGGGTTTAAGCTCAAGTGAAGGTAAGTGTCTTTACTTGTGTTTAAGCGTATATGCAGGCTTTTAGATTAAATTAGATACTTTATTGTCATTACATAATGCGAGCAGAGTGTAACGAAATGAAGAGGGTCTAACCAGAGTGCAAACAGTCAGTGATATACACATCTATCAGCGGTCTGTACAAAATAAATGCACAATACAAGTAAAGATATAGATGTAAAATGCATAAATAAATACACTGTGGCGTATATATATACAGTATATACAGCAGTATATGTGCAAAGATCAACGCGCTTCAGCACAGCACACAACAACACTTTTTGTACTCCTTATGTGAGCTGTTGTAAAACCAAAGAATTCAAAGCAACTGCCTCTCTTTGATTTGTTCCACAGACTGCGACCTGAGGATCGTCCTGCTGGGGAAGACTGGATCAGGAAAGAGTGCATCAGGGAACACCATCCTGGGACAAAGTGTTTTCAACTCAGAGGCTTCTCCATCCTCTGTGACAGAGACCTCTAACAAAATGTCTGGCTACTTTGATAAAAGAACTGTGACTGTGGTCGACACTCCTGGTATCTTGGACACATCAATGAATGAAAAACAGTTGAAAATTGAAATAGAGCGAAGTCTCACACTGACTGACCCCGGACCACATGTGTTCCTGCTGGTGATCAGACTGGATGTACGGTTCACAGAAGAGGAGAAGTCTGCCATCAAGTGGGTCAAAGACAACTTTGGTGAGGAAGCCTCCAAACACACACTGGTGCTTTTCACCAGGGGGGATGAGCTCAAGGAGAAGTCCATTGAGACTTTTTTATTCGAGGGACCCGAACTAAAGGAGTGTATCAGTGGTTTTACGGCTGGGTACATTGTGTTTGAAAATACATGCAGAGATAATCGCACTCAGGTGGCTGATATGTTTGAAAAGATAGACAAGATGGTGCAGTTGAATGGTTACAACCCTTATACCTGGAGCATGTACGAAGAGGCCCAGAGAAAGAAGAATTCAAGGGAATGGCGGAGCAAGTGGGCAAACCATTTGAACAAGTACGGTACTAATTTGTTAACTGCAGCAACAATCGCAGCTGGTGTTGGTGCTGCTGCTGGTGCTGCTACTGGTGCTGCTGCGGCAGCAGAAGAAGTAGTAGTTGAAACCGTAACACCAATTCTATGGGGAGGGATTTTAAAAGGCCTTGGGTGGTGGATAACTAAAAAGTGAGAGTCATGTCATTATCCAGTTACAGAGAGGAATTTTAACCTGTCTTTGTGTAATAGATGATGCCTCTGTATGACTATATACATAGTAAACAAGACCATCAATCCAAGTCAAGATTGGGGTTTTTTATGAGGTTATTCTGAATACTTGTCCTTGGTGCATATATGTCTGATTTTGGCTGAGGCAGGGGATATCATACAGGTACCAGAACCAGAACCTGCAGTCAGAGCAACACAAAAGGAAAGTTCCTCGTAGTAACTTTAAGCAAACTTGTGAAGTGATTCCATTGATTGCCTTTTTTGAATACATAGGAAAAATGTCATTGCTTAATGTGCATTCATAAATATCAAACACAACCTGCATTGAACGATATATAAACTTTGAATAACCAATCTTATATTGATTCTGTACACTCTTATCCTGAAAATGATTTTGTATTGAAAACACTATTCTTCCTTGTGTATGTTTTACTAGTCATAATGAAATAAAACAATGTGGTTTTAACTTTTGAAACTATTGTTTGATGTATTAAAAAAAGCGTTATTAGAAATTATTCCCTGTTGTGTAAGCAAGAAATCTCACCACATCTTCCAGGGCTCCACACTGCTGTTTGTTTTTCATAAACCAAGTCTGGTTGATTGCATAAGATAAAGACCCACTGTGGATCTTGTGTAAAAAAAAACTAAAATCACTTATGGGACAATGCTAACTGAAAAACATGAACTTCAGTGTACATAACACCACATTTATCACCCATCAGTCTCAAGTCAAAAGTCCAGGTGATATTAAGATAAAACTCCTACACAATTACAAGTTATATTAGGATCTACCTGGGTTGTTTTACATGAAAGGTCACAAGGTTGTTTGAAACTCCTGTTACTGTGCAAGCACAATTCAACAGCTGCCAAAATGCTTTTATGATTGCTAATGGTTTTATCAAAGTTGATCAATGTAACCAAACCTACATTCAATATTTGTTTTGTAAAGATATTTAACAAAGAGGTGCAGCTTAGCGTGAACAGAACCGCAGCCTTGTTAAAAAAAATCTCAAAGGGGACGACTGGTAATACTTTAATACAGGCACCACATCAGAAAAGCTACTTTCTGTGAACCATTCTCTACTGCTCATTCTGTCATTGTAATCCACAAAAGTCAATCTCAACTCTTTCATAGACTTTTTCTTGAGTAGAAAGTAGTTCCAAGGTTAACGTTTAGCCACTTATTGTGTTGATTATAAACCGGGAAGTTGTTACCAAAAAAGTTGCTACACTTTTTCCAATGAAGGGCACACTATTCACCAAAATCCTGAATCTGATCGTAATAATGACACGTCTCCTTTAAGAGGTGGAGGCACAACTGAGACTAGGGTGTTACATGCTTTAGCATTTAAGATGTCTAAACTATTTCAACAATGTTTTAAGATTTCTGAAAGTTTCACTTTCCAGGGAAACCGCGTGGTGGAGAAGACAGAGAGTTTCATTTCACTGGAAACCACTGAGGGAGGGAGAGGGAGGGAACATAACTAACACACAGCAATGCAGAGTGTGATCTGGAAATAAAGGCTAGACAACACTGGCAGATTTGGGGGATAGAAGTCGGTTCTGTGTGGTTCAACCTCTACAACAAGATGGGTTTAAGCTCAAGTGAAGGTAAGTGTCTTTACTTGTGTTTAAGCGTATATGCAGGCTTTTAGATTAAATTAGATACTTTATTGTCATTACATAATGCGAGCAGAGTGTAACGAAATGAAGAGGGTCTAACCAGAGTGCAAACAGTCAGTTATATACACATCTATCAGCGGTCTGTACAAAATAAATGCACAATACAAGTAAAGATATAGATGTAAAATGCATAAATAAAAATAAATACACTGTGGCGTATATATATACAGTATATACAGCAGTATATGTGCAAAGATCAACGCGCTTCAGCACAGCACACAACAACACTTTTTGTACTCCTTATGTGAGCTGTTGTAAAACCAAAGAATTCAAAGCAACTGCCTCTCTTTGATTTGTTCCACAGACTGCGACCTGAGGATCGTCCTGCTGGGGAAGACTGGATCAGGAAAGAGTGCATCAGGGAACACCATCCTGGGACAAAGTGTTTTCAACTCAGAGGCTTCTCCATCCTCTGTGACAGAGACCTCTAACAAAATGTCTGGCTACTTTGATAAAAGAACCGTGACTGTGGTCGACACTCCTGGTATCTTGGACACATCAATGAATGAAAAACAGTTGAAAATTAAAATAGAGCGAAGTCTCACACTGACTGACCCCGGACCACATGTGTTCCTGCTGGTGATCAGACTGGATGTACGGTTCACAGAAGAGGAGAAGTCTGCCATCAAGTGGGTCAAAGACAACTTTGGTGAGGAAGCCTCCAAACACACACTGGTGCTTTTCACCAGGGGGGATGAGCTCAAGGAGAAGTCCATTGAGACTCATTTATACCAACACCCTGAGCTCAAAGAGTGCCTCAGTATCTATACAGCTGGGTACGTTGTGTTTGAAAATACATGCATGGAAAACCGCACTCAGGTGGCTGATCTGTTTGAAAAGATAGACAAGATGGTGCAGTTGAATTGTTCCCAGCATTATACGTGGAGCATGTACGAAGAGACTCAGAGAAAGAAGAATTCAAAGGAATGGTGGAGCAAGTGGGCAGTTACTATGGACAATTTGAGTAATAACATGATTTTGGCAGCAGCATTCACCACTGCTGTTAATTCCCCTGTAGCTGGTGCTCCTTTAGCAGCAGCTGCAGGGATTTCTAAAGCCATTGGGTGGTGGATGAAACCTAAAACAACGGATGTAAAGCCATGATCCTTCAAGCTAACTTGTAAGGTCATTGTTGTGAAAAACTAAAAACATATGTAATGTAAGCATATATAATCAGTAACCACTTTAGGCAGTAAGGCATTCATTGTTTATTATAGGCGTCAAACCTATAAATAACATCATGTATTATCATTTATTAATTCAACAGCTCCATCGTTTACACATGATCAAATGTAAAGTTGACAGATGTAAAACATTCATATCAATAAACATGACTTCAAGAAAAATAATGTCACTCTTTCTTATGTCTATTTTGAAATGTTAGTTTATGTGCATTATTTTTCATTGATTTTTCATTGGCTTTGGTGTTTTCTGTCTTGAACATTTTTTATTTGATGATGATGCTGTATTGGTCAAAAATGGTGCCATCACAAATGAAAAAAAGGGTCCCACAATTTTTATTTTGTGTGTTTTGGTAACGATATAATGGATGAAATGAGTAGTACAGAATTGTATACAATTTAACCTCAGTACACTCTCTGATTTTGAGTCTTTCAAAAACATGACCAAATCCTCTCTTTGAATTGGACAAAGGAATAGGAAGGAAACACAGAGGAAATGTGTTTGTCTTAGATATCAATGATTACCCTAAAAACAATTCCTTTAAAGACATTTAAAAAAATATCTATCTTGTCAGAACCTGTAAAACATATCGGTACCACTTTACAATAAGACTACCCTTATAAAGGATTAATAAAGGGTTTATAATTAGGTTATTAATTAGGTTGTAAACACTTTATTAATCATTAAGAACCATTTATAAACCGGTTCTAACATACGTCAACACAGGCTCACTATTTGGCAAGATGACTAAGCCTTATATTGGCTACCTAGCTTAATTTGTCTTCTTCATCAGCCAGCATCCTTGGTATCTGTTGTTCACAGAGTTGATTCCCCCCCTTCCATCTTGATGTTTCTTGGCATCTCTTTATGACCATTTATTTATGAGTTACTAACATTTATAATTGCCAAAAGGGAGCCTTATTGTAAAGTGTTAAACACATTCCCATTTATTAATGAGTTACTACCATTTCTAATAAGGCTTAGCAACACAGATAAATGTGGGCTCACTATTTGGCAAGCAACCGGTCACAGTTGCCCTGTTTATCTCATGTCTTATAAAAGCTTATTAATGATTTATAAAGTTTTCACAACTTAATTAATAAATGAATTATAAACTATTCGTAAACCCTTTATAAGGGTAGTCTTATTGTAAAGTGGTACCAACATATCTATATAAAGATACACTGTACTTCTTTTGTGTTCCTCATACTTGGGAAATGACACAACACCCTCATTTGATTGCAGACTTGGGTTAAACAGTCTAAATTCATCATGTTGTTGGTATGTTATTGTCAGAGGTGGCTCTGTTCAGAATGCTTCCTCAGTGAAATGTGATCGGTCAGCGGACGTTGACCATTGTCTCTCATTTCCTTTAGGGAAGTGAGCTCATAATGTTACTAATAATAAAACAATGGAAACGGCACATCCATAAACATTTTATTATCCCATAAGTTATGAAATCATGCACAATGTACTTACAAACGTTATGAGATCTATAGAGAACATGTCAACACATTCAAACTTATTAGAGTTGTTCAAGTATAACTCGGGACATGGGTCTCATATATAAGCTCCAAACAATAAATGAGAGGAAAGAAAACAAAAAGAAGAAAACACATATTGCATGTCATACCGTTTGTTTACTGCCAGCATTTAATTCACATACTTCAGTTATAGCAATGTTGTGTCCAAACTTAATAATCCTAGAAGAAGAATGCAGGATAATACGAAAACACCATGCACAGATTATTTTAACCATCATGAGAGCAGTATACTTCTACTGTATGTCACCTTGTCTCACTAACCTCTGCCTATACCGGAACATTTGCTTTTGCTTTGCATCTTATGCCCTTCCAGACACAAAAAGCAGCTAAACCACATAACACTCCCAGCAGGAGCACAGGAGCGCCTAGAGCCAAAGCCACCGTGGTGTCGGCCCCCACTGCTATGATAGCCCCCGCTAACACCAGCACAACAGCAGCAGCCGAGGCCACGCGTATATTCTTCCTTTTAACCTTCTTCTCCTTTTCTCTCTGTTTCTCTTTCTCCTCCCTATCTGCATCCCATATTTTCCTCTCCTCCTCCTTCTTCTCTTCCTCCTCTTGTATCTTCCGCTCCTCCTCCTCCCTCAGCTTCCTCTGGGCTTTCTCATACAACTCATTGGTGTAGTGTTTCCCCCCATTTTCCTGGATCATTTCCTTGACCATGGTAATCAAATCTTTGACCTGTACTTGGTCCTGCGGGTCTTTGTTGTTAAAGGCATGGTACCGGCGTCCAAACGTAATAGAGAGTCTCCGCAGCTCCTTGCACTCCTTCAGAGCATTGTCAGCTTTGGCCTGATCTTTGCATGTAAACATCATGATAGTGTACATGGAGGCATCGTCCCCAAAGTTGTCCTGGATCCACTTCACAGCGTTTCTTTCCTCCTCGGTGAACCTTACTCCGAGCCTGATCACCAATAGGAAGGCGTGAGGGCCGGGCACGGACATTGTGACGCATTCCTCTATTCTGGTTTTCAATTCTTCCTCTGTGATGCCTGTATCAAACAGACCTGGAGTGTCAATCACCTGGACCACAGTCCCGTCCACCTCCCCGCTCTGTGTCTCGCAGTGTTTGGTCACAGATACAGGGCTCGGGTCTTCTTTGAAGGCAGCTCTCCCAAGGATGGTGTTTCCTGTCGCACTCTTGCCAGATCCAGTCTTGCCCACCAGGACAATCCGCAACCCTCCAGAAATGTCCCCAGCTGGAACAGCAGAATTTATGTTTAGCCAATTGCTAATGTTTAGTTAATGTGTTTTCCATTAGTCAGCATGAGTGTTTTGGTTATTAAGCACAATTTGGGTTACAATGGTTGTGAAAGACCTCTTTGAATGAGGTGTATCCCCCTCCATATAGTACAGACTTGACCCCTAGGACCACAAAGTTGTTTTTTTTGTATTGTGGACACACGTGAGGCCGCGCATAACCTCTACCTAATAGATTGATATTTGGTGGCATCAATTCACAAAGAACTCAAGCATATGGGCCAGCAATGTTAGGGAAAAGACTGCTGCAAGCTAGCAAACGTGGTGTAAAACCATGTTTATAGTGATAAAGCTGAATTAGTGCTATGATTGGGCCAAAAAACTCATTCCAATCCACAGCAGTACTTGTTTACTGTTAAAAACTATGAAATACATGAGAAGCTAGAGAATAAAAAGCTCTAAGCTGGATACAATGTTAACGAAATGTGTTAACCCCACTTTTCCGTATGTGGCCAACTGTGATACTGTGGCTTAAATGAATTGCCTGGGGCACTAAAATCATTGCTAAAGAGACGACTGCAAACACGTTTACATGACACCTCAGACAGGAAAGGGACGTTGATTGTTACTCATTCTATTCAGATTTTTTAAAGCATGAATTACATTAATGATGTCATCCAAATAACAAGTCTATTGGCCAAATGGGACTATCTTTTTGTTGCAAAACACTAAATGTAGACCTAACTTGGTGCAGCTTTAATCCGTCAGGAAGCATTCAACCACTAAACACATGTGCAAATGTTGCAGTGGAAAGCTCATAAATAATTCACACAATGTACAACATTGTATCTTTTATTGTAGTGGCCGAACCCTTTATAGCTAACATTGATAACACCTCTCGTTTAACAACTATAAAAAGTTCATAAGTGACTTCAAAGAAATGAAGTCTGCAGTTATAGATGTGCGAGAGACATTAATGCTCTTTCCTGTTAAGCCATCAAAATCAAGCAGCCAAAGGTAGTCCCTGTAATACCAGAGAAGAATAAACACCAGACAAAGGGATTTTTCACAACCTGGCAACCCTAAAATAAATGATTTGGTCAAAACAAACAAAAAAATCAGTTTAAGTCTGAATAAAGTGTTTCTTGTTAGAAGGTGGTATAGACATATATAATAGTTAGAGATTTCATGAGACAATGAATGAGCATACCGTCAAAGCTGTTCAGACCACACCCATCAGCCCGAGGAAGAGTTTTCTGCTTCTTTTCTCGCAGTGGTATTGCTGTGATATGAAATTATACCATGGAGACAAAAACAAATTCCACTATTAGTCACTGACATCATTATCAAGGTCTAGGTTTTTACGATGTCCCTCTTTCCAGAGCCACAGTATCACAGCCACAGTATCACAGTAAGTGTTTCATCTCACAGGGATAAAAGATCAAGGTTGTTTATTTTTAACATAAGTCAGAAAGGTTGTCTTACCTTCAGCCATCACTTCAATTTCACTTTTTCCAGTTCCCAGGTGGCCAAATGTGTTGTTCCAGGCCTGAGTTGTGAACTTAGACAAGCTCCGTGGTTTGACTTCAGACATGGATTTTCTGGGAAACTTCTGGAAGCCTGGCCTTTGCAAAGGGGGCTTCCTATTTCCTTCTATTGTCTTCAGTTTACATCTGAAAAGTGCATCCCCAAAGAGGCTGTCCACAGCTATGTGCAGTTGTGTACGGGTTGTTTAGACAGTGGTGGAAGAAGTACTCCATTCCTTACGTACAAATACCATAGCCTAAAAATACACCATTACAGGTAAAGTTTAAAAATGATGTATTAAGTAAAAGTGCAGTATTATAATTGGCTAAATGTATTTAAGGAGGATCTTATGCAGCAAAGCAGCTTTCGTGGTATTATATTTTTATAAAATATTATATTATTGTGTTTTTATCAATATTGAAACACTTTTGCTGCAGTTGCAATCACTACACCTGTGCCAGGAGATCACTTATATGCTGTTGCCCCATTACGCCATCTAGTGTTCAAATAACAAAACATATAAACCATACTAATTGGCGCAACACTAGCCAAATTGCCACAATGTGACTACCCCCCCACTCTCCCTCTTGTACCTGCATGAGGTGAGGCACTGATAGCCAGAATCCCCCACTCCGTGATGCTGTCAGGTAAAGGGTGTTCCACATTTTTAGACGCCAACCTGTTGATCAGATTCATGTGTTTTACCAACTAAAAAGGTCAAAACCACTGATACAAGAATTTTAAAGAAAGTCTTCCGAATCATACAAACAGATTCATCAGGGTTAACTGAAACAAACAAGGACCATACATACAGGAATCTGAATTTGGTACCAACATGAATGTCTGTTTAACACAGGAAAATGGAGTCAGTGTTGTTTACTCTGAGCTGTTTATCCCGCTGTTATCACTGAACAAACAGAACATGATGCAATGCAGGGAGTTCACTGTGCTGTGTGTTTCTCTCATGTGATGAAACAGAGACTTTACATTGGACCTGATCCATCTTTTTATCAGACAGTGGAGGTACGTCAAATATCAATGGCTGGATTTTTTAAGACTTTCAATGAGCCAGTTGCTGGTCCACTCCAGCATTCTCAAATTTGTATCCATGCTATACACATGCTACTGTGTCGACTTTGGTTAAATATCCAGGATAAATCCTGGACTGAGAGGGAATGATTAATCTAATAATCCCTTTAAATGGTACTCGTGTTTCAATGCAATATTGAAACGTGCATGATATTTCCCTCTGAGAGTTAGAAGTAAACACAATAACTCATTTAATGTACAAGTATCACTACTTGAGTACATACATTACATTTGGTGGTTTTGCCACAACAAGAGAATAACATTTAAGCTATATTTACTAATAAACGCATGGGTAACCTACCATATAATGAGATCTGGTTGTTTAAAAGTGAAGAACTCTAGAGAACACCAATCACATTCTTCCATTGTAAATTTCCCCCATCAAAACCGAAATATCTTAAATACAAGCTACCAGAAGCATATGATAACCTTTTAAAAACTTCAATCAACTATCAATCATACATATGTCTAAAATACATTAGTATTATAGTTTGTCATTTGGTTTAATGAGTCTTTGGGGGAAGTAAGCATAATTTCAGACTTTATTGAAGAATTTTTTATTCCCACACAATCACATATGAAACATGCATTTCAACTTAAGATTTAGTTTAAAGCTTAGTAAAAGCAAGGATATGTGTGTGTGTGTGTGTGTGTGTGTGTGTGTGTGTGTGTGTGTGTGTGTGTGTGTGTGTGTGTGTGTGTGTGTGTGTGTGTGTGTGTGTGTGTGTGTTTGTATGTGTACGCATTACATAACAAAACCAAGCAGAGCTTTTTGGGGTCATTTTGCCACTGAGCATGCAGACAATGTTCAGTTCTTTTTCAGCTTTTCCCATATTTGTATTTATTACAGGCTCCCCAGAGCTACATAAACCTATGTAGTGCAATTATAGGCTGCATATCCAACTGATGCACCGAATGCACCAGCCCCATACTGGAGAAGTCCTGCAGGTAAGACAGCTCCTGCTGCGATAGCTATCAGGGAAAGAATACCGAGCTTTTTACACCAAGCTATCCTCTCTTCGTCTCTTTTCCTTTCCTCCTCATAAAGTTCCTCCTGGGCTTGCTGGTACATCTCGCTGGTGTAGTGTTTTCCTCCATTATACTGCACCATTTTGTCTATCTTCTCTAGAAGACTTTCAACCTGGTTTCCTTTCTTGTTATTCATGAGTGAATGATACCTTCCTCCACACTGGTCTATCAGTCTTTTTAGATGTATGCTCTCCGAGACATATTGGTCCACTGATTTATCCTCTAGCAAGTCAGCGTGTGTGAACAGAACTATGGTATACATGGAAGAATCCGAACCAAAATTATCCTGGATCCACTTCACAGTGGCCTTCTCCTCATCAGTGAATCTAGCCTTCAGACTGATCACTAACAGAAAAGCATGGGGTCCAGGAACTGACTGCTTAATACACTCCTCAATTTTTTCTTTCACAACTTCTTGTGTTTTGTTAGTATCAAAAAGTCCGGGACTGTCGATCACAACAATTTTCCTCTCACCATCATTAGACTCTTCTTTGTGACAGCTGTTAGTAACAGACTCAGGAGATATATCCTTTTTAAAGGCATTTGGATTTCCCAGGATGGTGTTTCCAGAAGCACTTTTTCCAGATCCAGTTTTTCCAACAAGAACAATTCGCAGGTCTTCCAGTAGAGTTGAACCTGTGGACAACAAAGAAAACACAAGTGTGAAAAACAGTAATTCAAAGTAGCTGAGGCATTTTTTAGCCTGAAAGCAAAGAATAATCGACTGTAAGTGGACGTAGTCATGCAATGGTTTATGGAATAAAATGTGGAATCTTCTAATTTGGCCTTTGGCTATTGCCATATTGTTATTTGTAAACCAGAAGTGCCATCAGACCGTCAAACTCAATAAAATCACATGCTGAAATATGTATGATAAAAAATCTGAAAGCACTCAATCAGGTAAACACTGTGTGGTATTAATGTGAGTCACAAGGTAGCAGGGGCGGATCTACCGGGGTGGCATGGGGAGGCAACTGCCACCCTAAAAAATAGCCTTCCCACCCCAGTTGGCATCTTTGTTTTGAAATAAAAGTTGTGGCTCATCGGACATTTATGAGAGAAAATCTCTAATGTCCGAGTGTAATGGCGCATTTCCACTACACGGTCGGCCTCGGCCACGCTCGGTACGGCTCGGTACGGCTTGGCCGCGTTGGGCCTTAACAGGGCCGACTCACTTCATGCTGCGCTTCCATTACAGTTTAGGAACTGGGGTAGTTACTATAGTAACGCAGTGTAGGCGGAGCCGTGACGTCATCTTCAATGAGAACTCCAGAAAAACAACACAGCCGTTAGCTGTGAGCACTCAGAGCTCACAGCTCCTTATATATGTTCAGAAACTCGACAAAAGTTAAACAAGTACAAACCACAGACTGCCTGTGTCATGGTGAATACAGTCGCTGCTTTATTTATGTCTGTATAGGCCGTTGTTGTGAGTGTGGACGGTCGGAGCATATACTGCGTTAGCTTAGCCAATCTCCATCTAGAAAAACACGCATTTTAAAAGGTTTTTCGCCTGCCGTCTGTCTGCAGAGTTGACAAAGCATTAATTCATGGTTTTTACTAACCGGTATCAGTATGTTGTTACTTCGGCATCATTTTGAAACGTGTATTACAATTAAATCACGGTCAAATATGTCCATCTTGTTGTAGTTGTAGCCCCCTTGCCAGCGACCCTCTCTCTAGTTTAGCATACTCAGCCCGACTCAGCCCTGTTTGTTGGCCCCGATAGAACCACAATTTTGTCGGGCCAGAAAAGAGGTGAAAAAGTGGCCCCGGGCCGGGCCGGGCCGTAACTAGGCCTAGTGGAAGCGCAACCAAAAACGGGTACGGCACGACACGGCACGCTTAAAGCGAGCTCCGCGCTGTAGTGGAAATGCGCCATAAGTGAATGCAGCACAAGACGCGGGCCTTGTAACCCCTCCCCCGGCCCTGGCGCGAGCTTAGAAATATGATTGGCGGCGATTTCATTTGAACGGGGGACGGCGCAAAACGAGAAGCATATATATATCGGACTCAAGTAGACGGAAGGAATGAGGTATTTGCGGTCTACAATGACAGAGAAGAGACTGTCAAGTTTGGCTGGACTCAGCATTGAATCAAAACGCACTAAGGCTGTTGATCTTAATAAGTTTGTGAGGCGTTTTGCTGAACAACATGGTAATCGCCGCATTCAGCTGTAATAGGCATGCCAACTTGATGCTCTGCTCACGGATGACTCGATGAGCATAAACAACTGTTAAGATGATGACCTTGTATGTGTGTATATCTTTCTTTTCTTTGTGGGGGTCTTTCCCCCCAAAAAACAGTTTTATGTCCTGAGAAAGTCAAATAAGACGGTGTGTAAAACTACACTGCCCAGCCAAAAAAAAGTAACCACTTTGATTTAAAGGACACCTATCATGCTATATTTAAATGATATATTGTAGGGCCATACCTATATAAGGTATATTTATAAAACGGACAAGTAAAATCAAGCAATCTGATTGGTTCTTAGCCGTGGTATACTGAGCGTATACCACGGGTAGAATTGTAAGTTACTTTTCACAACAAGTCAGTATCCCTCCGCGTCTGAGATAAACAGTATACAGTTGGGCTGAAAAGCAAACTGCCTGCAGTTTGCTTTTCAAACTGGAACAAGAAAGCAGCGGAGAAGTAACGGGGCAGAAACCCTCCTTTTTACGCAACGGTCCAGACATAGACATCAAACGGCAAAAACATATTCAGTGTGCAGTTCCTTTGGCATTAGGGCAGGGATATTTAGATACTTTCCAAGGTTTGACATAATGAATTGTGCTACTTTTAAAGCAAGCAACGATGTTTTCAAATCTGTAATCAAAAAGGTCCGCAAAAACATTTAAGATTAACTTCGACCTCCGGGGGGGGGGTCTTACTATGGAGGAGTGGATTGAGGAGTGCCTATCTCCAGAACAATAAGCACCTAAACGACGACATGTTGAGCTACGTGAAGAGCAGGTAGACCAACTGGAAAAGTATCACCATTCAAAAGCTTTCTGATGCGGGTCTTGAAACAAAGCAGAGAAATTATGACCGTTAGTGGCCACAGGTGCGAAAGCTTTCTCCAGAGCTACTGGAAGCCGAATCTCGGGGACCGGAGAAAGTGGAGCAATATTCTCGCCACGCCAAGCAACAGCCTCCCTAGAACAACCTCAGCCTATACAAGTAACCACGTAAGCCATGCTACTGATGCTGGACAGTTTTTCAGTGGGTGCACAATAAACGGCAACATACACATTAATGTAAATAAATAGCCAAATAATGGATCAACGCTCTCTGTCTAATATGTTCGCTAGCTGTTGTTAGTGTTGTTGCATAGCAACCACCTCGCACTATGTTTCGTGCAGAAGGCAACAGAGGGACTATTTTATTTTGAACATCATTATTTACTAATAAAAACTATTTAAATTAGAGTGTGTATTTTTCTTTCATATTGCCACACTTGGTAACCGTTTTATAAAAGCAATAGCTCACTTCAGGCCGTGATATATGCTCATTATATCACAGCTAAGGGGCGTGGTTCGGCCCGACGCGAAGCTATTGCTTAATTATACGTTTCTGTTTTCAAAATACCAAACAGATCATGCATTTTAGCCATGCCTCATTTCGCTCTATTTGCTGTTCTCCAGCCCTGTTTTTGCAGGGGGCTGATTCTGTGAGCTGCAGCGGACCACGCCCCCCTGCAGGAGAGGGGAGCGTGCTCTGATCAAGTCAGAAGAGGGGGAGAAAAATAGATCTCCGTCCTCCGTGTTTTATTATATAGAGTCGTTATTCATTTGTTTTAAAGCTCAATAAATAACAAAGAAGACCTTTGACTGGCACTTTTCTAATTTTGTCCAGAAGATTTAAACTTTAACGGACATCTTGACCGGCGAAAGAAAACCTAACTGAAACTCTGCTGCACGGTCCCCTCGTTCCTTGGAAGAGGCGGAGAGGTGGGTGTTTGTCATCTGCTGGTGGACTAACCGGAGAGAATTACAGTGCTTGCCTCGACGGGGAGGGATTGCATTGAATTACAGCAGCAGCAATCCCTCCCCGTCGAGGCAAGCACTGTAATTCTCTCCGGTTAGTCCACCAGTAGATGACAAACACCCACCTCTCCGCCTCGGGGAGGGAGAAAAAAAGCCACAGCGGAGAATAAACAGAAGGGTAACCATGGTAACCATGCGCGGGAAGTCTTCTTCGCTGCTTTTGTGGCAGACTACAGCGCCACTTACAGGACTGGCATATGTACTACAGCGTCTCCAGCGCTTTCAAGCGGCAATGGCCGGCCGTGGCCCAACCCCACATTCCCCTGATAGGTGGAGAGTTGGCCCAATAGCCGTAGCGCCACCGTCCTGACGTCAGGACAGTGTTCAAATCTGGATCAGTTTTTATCAGATCCGTTGCAGCCCCTTTTTTAGAGATTTGGGTATGGAGGAAAATAGAGAGGGTTGTGTTTTCTGACACTTGGTGAGTTCCCTGGAACACCGGGGACACATATTCATGTATAAAAGACGTACAAAAGTGCATTTTGCATGATAGGTCCCCTTTAACTGGGCCAGTAGGTAAGGACTTTCCACTGGATAATAACTGCAGCGATGTATATGTTTTAGCTGAATACACGTTTTTTTTAACCCTAACTGATGCAGTTAGTCACTTCTTTAATGTTTGTTCTTTCTGATGTAAAGTCAAGGTTGTAACTGTTTGCAGTAAAGTCGTGGGGCCCTGTTCCTTTGAATCTTTTGAATTTTGATACATGATATAATTACTTGTCTTTCAAATTTGGAGGGAGGGTGAGCAAGCATCTTGAGGAACATTCATCATTAACTCCTCCAAAAAATATAGTTTATTCAATAATAAATGAATATGTGAATCATAACAGTGATTGACAGCTGATAGGAATAATATGATTGTTAATAGTATCATATTCATTCAGACAAACATCGATGAGACAGTTAATTAATGTACTTATTGCAGCAGTCTGCATACATTTGGTACCCCTGCTGGTCTAAGAGTGAAACAAACAAAATTGTTCAGTTAAAATTCATTAAATTATGTCTGCCACCTTATATATTTATATGTAAGGCTTTACTGATGTGCCACAATAATGTCACCTATGTTATTGAGTTATAATATTTATATTGTGGCTTTCCAAGTTAACATTGATTGATATGACTGCAATTAAATCAGCATATACTTCTGCCAGGGGATGCCGCCCCTCACAATCTCCTGCCACCCTCTTGCCACCCCATGAATATTTGTCTAGATCCGTCCCTGAAGTAGGGGTGGGCGATATGACGATATATATCGTAGAGACGATATTAGGTCTCCACGATATGCCTTTTCAGAGATATCATATCTATCGTGATACAGAGTCACTCAGTCATAGAATGTGCACTCACTGTGAGTGCTGCGAGTGCACATTCTATGATTTGCAGTTCTATACCTTAATTTATACTTCTGTAGTACGACGGTTTTGTTTGCCAAAAAATAACAGATCTTCAAGCTAACAATGCGTTTCGACCGCACCGCAATGACCTCATTGCTTGCTTGAAGGTCTGTTATGTTCATCACACGCTCCCAAAGTCCCCGTCCCCTTTCTTCTTGGCAGCGAGGGAAACTACACTGTTGGCAGTCTGCACACACAGCAATAATGGACGGAGAGTCAGATTCAGATGTAGAAGAATTAGTCCCCAAAAATAACTCTACGTCTGTGGTATGGAACTATTTGGGATTTTACACAACAGACACGGACCAAACAAACGTAATTTGCAAAAAAGAAAATGTGAAAGCGACAGATGGCAACACGTCGGGCTTACGAGACCACCTCAAACGCAAGCACCAGAAAGAGTATGCAGAGTCTGTAAGAGTGCAAGGTCCCCCGCGTGTGAATGCACAATCTACCGCAGCGACTGCACAAGTACGACCAAAACAAACCACCATAACGCAGGCATTTGATAAAGGGGCTCCTTATGAAAAGACTAGCAAACGATGGAAAGACATAACTGACGCGGTGGCGTTTTATGTGGCCAAGGATATGCATCCAATAAAGAGCGTGGAAAACAAAGGTTTCGTGAGGCTGATGAAAACAGTTGACCCATGGTACCAGGTGCCCAGACTGTACCCAAAACTATAATAAAAAAAAACAGATGTGAAAGACATGCTCTAAAGCTGTCTAGTCAGAATTCAGACAGTATTGCACTTCATTTAATGTCTTGGTTGATTCTGTTGGCTTATATTTTATTTTATCAATAAGGTATTTATATTGTTTTTCCCTTTTGAAACAGATGTTCAGTTATGCTAAAGTCTTTGATTGCACTTCAAGTCTAAAGTTTACATTTTAATTGTTTGGCACTGACTTTTCCTCATTGATGTTTTATGTTTTACTTAGTTATGTTTTACTCTCCTTTTCATGTTTATTGATGTTACATCACTGCTAGTGCTACCTAAAACAGAAAGGGAATTTTTATACTGAGAAACTGTGCCTTGAATATTTTTATTTTATTTAGCAAGAGAGTGCACTTTACAAAATTCCTGTTGAATTGTTCATTCAGGGATTCATTGCAGAATTAAAATCAGCTTGAAATGGTATTTTGGTCTGTTACTCCTTTTTATTTTAGTTTCTGTTACCTTGTAGGTGGTTGTACTGTTAAGTAACTTGAAAAATAACCATAATAACCGACATGAAAAAATATCGTGATAAATATCGTCTATCGTGATACTGCTTGAAAAATATCTTGATATTATATTTTTCAATATCGCCCACCCCTACCCTGAAGCATACCTTGCTTTGTCTATTTTATTCCAAATGAGCCCATAATGTACAAAATGATCGTCATGCTGTATTGCAAATGAACTGAAACTAGAGACCATAACAGTCAGGAAAAGGTTTACTTGGGTAGTAAATTGAGTATTATCTCATAGACTTTCTTTAGAGTCTGACTTTTTTTTGCATACAGTGTCGTTGTCTTCTGTTGGAAATAAGAAAGATAGCAAGCTTAAGCATTGACTGCATTTTCCTAGACCTAGATGCTGCCATGTTGTCGTGTCTGACAACCTTCACTATACAGTGTTTGATCAGTTTTACAGCTCGAAATGTTGTACTCTCTTCTCATAGCACACCTGTACAAATGGCATTGTTTCCTTTAAGATCACCTACCTTCGGTTTTGCAGTGAGCAGTTTGACCACATAAAGTAACCAGCGCAAGCAGGGTGCAGCCTGAGATTAAAGCTTTTCCTCCCAACATCTCTGTAACAATGACCTCCGTCGATTATCTAACAATAAAAAGAAAAGAAAAGATAAACGGTGCATACGGTATATAGTTCTATAATCAAACAATGAAGATAAAGCCCTCTACTTACACTTAAAATTATTATAAACGTACCTGTACAAGTGTTTCTCAGCTGTCTGGTATGTTTGCAGGTGGAGAGATCCTTTTATAGCCTAAGAATAACAAACACCCAACAGTCTTATGACACTGATGCTGTGCTGTTTTAAGTTTCGTTTTTGCTTAATGACATGTGTGCAAACTTCCCTGCTTTGGGACGCCCCCCAGGCAGTCCAGAGACAGTTACCTGACGCACCCCTCACACTGTAACTTCATTAGTCACGCGCAGAGCGCGACCGGTCATAAACTGACTTTCAGCGAGTGAACAGGTCGTTATGTGTTCCGCGTTGTGCGTGTATGAAACCGTACGTGTTGTTACTGTGGCATAAGCACCTGTTTGTATCTATATGTTTGCATTTCGTATGTAAATAACAGTTTACAGACAATAATCGGCGTAGTATTGTTTACAGTAGGCTACTTGTTTGCCGTAAGTGCGACTGCCTTTTAAATGTTCAGTAGTTTCACTTTCTGTCCGCTTTGACTGTTGATATAATTATATTTGGTATGTACGATCGTCATATATGTCCAGTCTCGTGCTATTGCGGTGAGCTGTGTATAACTGTATGCCTCTGTACTCCGCCATTATCACGTGTAAAGGTCAAAACACTTGCACTTGTTGCGGTCAAGTGAGCCCTCTTGCGGGCATTTCGGGTATTGTTCCAATGCAGCTGACTGTTCCAGCATGTATGTGTATGTACTGTATAGCAGGAAATCGTAATGTAACTATTAGGATTCATATTGTCATTCACTAATTTAATCTACTCTGTTTATTTATATTTCCTAGATAACCACAACATAACAAACATAACATAACAAACATACTGTAACACCATAACTCCTGTGCACAATTACAGTTTGGATATCTACACCCCCTGGATTGCTGCAATCTTTCTGGCAGAAGATTTAGGCCAGACTTGTATACACCAGCATTCTTTATTCATAATTTCACAACATGTAGTTTAATTGGCAAACCATATAGCCTCAATCCACTGATCAGGCTAAACAAGAAAAGCCAGAACTGGTGGCAGGTGCTTGCTTGTGCATTTGTGGTCCATTTCTCTGTCATCTAACTGCGTGATGTATAAACTCTTATTACATGGTTTAGTTGAATACTCGATTCTGATTGGTCAATTCAGAACACGTGACATGTTGTTAATCCAGAACAGACATACCGCTGTCAAGGATTTATTAACCGCAGTGGCGAGCCGTGACTTTTGTACCTAGGCCCTCTGACCCCCACCCCATCCCTCGAAAAAAAGTTATTACGTCACAGCGTATACTTCAGAATATCGAAAACAACGGCCGGGGTGCAAAGTGCATCAATGAAAGCAACCCTGTACCACACAAAACAACACCTGTAAATAACCCAATTTGTGTTATTTGAAATTGAAAAGGATATTGCATTGTGTTTGTTACTTTTGTTGCAGTTGTATGTCTTAAAGGTGGGGTAGGTAATTTTGGAGAAACCAGCTCGAGATCGCTAGAATTTGAAAATACACAGCCGGAAAAAATCTGTCACTTCCTTACAGAGCCCCTCCTCCAACACACACGAATGCGCACATGACCAATGAGGGCACGAGATAAGTTTGTGCACAGATGGAAGGCTGACAGGCAGGTAGGCCATCCAGTTATTTTAGCCGGGCCGGCTAAAATGATTGGTCGTGCTTTTTACAGTACTACGGCTTCCACAGATGACATTTTTTTAAGGATTTTTTGTCAAAGCACTTAAGATATTCATTGCTATCGGGATGTTAAGAGCATTCCATGGAATATAACAAAAAGTGTATCTCGAGCCGGTTTTTCAAATTTACCTACCCCACCTTTAAGTGTAATTTGGCATGCTTTTATTTTGAAGGCGAGTTTACGCTGTTGACAGGAAGTTGTTGTTGCTATGGAAACAAGAAAAGCTTCACAGCGGGCGGAACTTGTCATAAAGTCCGCGATAATTAAAACACACCCATTTAGAGGGAAGATATGATTGGTCAATTGTTCTGTCATTTGACATTACTCTCTCGTTCAGTTACTATAGAGTGGCGAAGTCACGCCCATCTACTTCCGGTCCATGGGACTTTTTTTCGGAAAAATAATGTATTGAAGTCAATGGAGAGAGAAAACTTATCTTTCGATCCCATTTGAATTGTGCCATGAATTACACATATGATGTTTGTCAATCTTAAAAAATGATTTCCATGTAAAAAAAGTCACACTGTCGTAAAACTGTTGAAATATAAGACTATGAAAAATACGCAACTAGAAAGACTACAAATCCCAGAGTCGCGTAAGTGATGTCACAATTGTTTTCCTCTACTAAGAGATAGCTAAGATCAACAGTATGGTGCTGGCTAAGATAAGATAACTTTAACAAGATGCCTGTGTGCTTAGTACCAGGTTGTTATCATACGAGCAATGGGTCTTGCTCGTTCTTTCGCTTCCCGTCTGATGAAAGGATCAAGTTAGCTACCTAGCTAGTAGCTAGCACGTTAGTTAGCATTACAGCCTTGTCATTTTTATTAGCCTTAACATGAAGTAACATTAAAGGAAACCTATCATGCTATATTTAAATGATATATTGTAGGGCCATACCTATATAAGGTATATTTATACGTTTCTGTTTTCAAAATACCAAACAGATCATGCATTTTAGCCATGCCTCATTTCGCTCTATGTGCTGTTTGCTGTCTACGGGGCTGATTCTGCTGACCACGCCCCCCTGCAGGAGAGGGGAGACGTGCTCTGATCAGCTGCTGGGCTGTCAGAAGAGGGGGAGAAAAAGAGATCTCCGTCCTCCGTGTTTTATTATATAGAGTCGTTATTCATTTGTTTTAAAGCTCAATAAATAACAAAGAAGACCTTTGACCGGCACTTTTCTAATTTTGTCCGGAAGATTTAAACTTTAACGGACATCTTGCCCGGCGAAACAAACTGAAACTGAAACTCTGCCGCACGGTCCCCTCGTTCCTTGGAAGAGGCGGAGAGGTGGGTGTTTGTCATCTGCTGGTGGACTAACCAGAGAGAATTACAGTGCTTGCCTCGACGGGGAGGGATTGCATTGCAGCGGGAGCAAACGCTTGCCTCGGGGAGGGAGAAAGAAAGCCACAGCGGAGAATAAACAGAAGGGTAACCATGGTAACCAAGTCTTCTTCACTGCTTTTGTGGCAGACTACAGCGCCACTTACAGGCCTGGCATATGTACTACAGCGTCTCCAGCGCTTTCAAACGGCAATGGCCGTGGCTGTCTCCTCCTGATTGGTGGAGTTGGCCCAATAGCCGTAGCGCCACCGTCCTGACGTCAGGACAGTGTTCAAATCTGGATCAGTTTTTATCAGATCCGTTGCAGCCCCTTTTTTAGAGATTTGGGTATGGAGGAAAATAGAGAGGGTTGTGTTTTCTGACACTTGGTGAGTTCCCTGGAACACCGGGGACACATATTCATGTATAAAAGACGTACAAAAGTGCATTTTGCATGATAGGTCCCCTTTAAGTAACCCAAAATGTTAAACAGTAAGAGTAGTAGTCATATTTCGTGAACCCTTTGAAGAGTACTGTCACCGGTGTGATCATTCTATAATCCACAATTTAAGCCCGGGGGAGAAATGCTAACGCTAACGCTAGCATCGGCGATCTTTTCTACTTCATGCTATCTGCACAAATGGTTGAAATTAAAAAGACCAGGCAGTTCAGAGAGAATCAAAGGAAGGCAGGCAGGCAGGCAGGCAGCTTTACATGACATTCTTATGGACGTGTTTCATTGTGGTGATAGTGAGGGTAGTCAATCGTTTTGTTGACAAGACAGTAGTGACGGCCATCTTGGTGACGTGTGTTGTTGATCAGAGATGTAGTTCATTGAGCGTTTCACACAAACAAATGTGTTACTTCACAGTTTTACGACACATTTTATTTTTTTTGACTTGCAAAATTATCTTTTAAATTGACAAACATCATATGTGTAATTCGTGGCACAATTCAAACGGGATCGAAAGATAATCTTTCTCTCTCCATTGACTTCAATACATACATTTTCCGAAATAAGGTCCCATGGAGGTCCACCGGAAGGGGAGGGACTTCGCCACTCTATAGCGGGCCCTCTGTCAATTTACAGCAGGACCACCAATCAGCTCCTATCTTCACAGTACCTCGCAGAGACGGCTAAAGGAGCTTCTTTCATTTAACCCTTCACATTCAAACAGAAACTGAACAAGCAGATTCGAAATGTTATTTTAAATACAATTAAATCAAGTTATTTTGGCAAAACTAATGAAAAATATAACTAAAGAAATATATATTAAAAAAGAAATATATTAAAAAAGAAATATATATTTTTAATGTTTTTAAATATTATTTTGTAGAATATCTTAGGCCCTCTGATGCGGCTTTCACACCAGCGCTTTTCCCTTTCTAGCTCCGAGCTAGAGCTTTTCTGGTTCAGCTCCGGTTTCCCTTTTCTGCTCCCGCTTTGTTCACACCGCCCAGAGCCCGACTGGTGCTGCCGCTGCTGCGTCATGACGTCACCGTTTACATCGCTGATTTGCTCCCCAACGGCGCTCACAACAACAACAACAACAACGGGGGACTGCGTCGGGTCGATGATTGTGTTGCTTTTAATCATACGAAGCCAGATTAAATTAAATAACGACTTCTCCAACCTTATACTTTTCTCCAGAGTGCCGTGGTTCATTGTTTATTAATGTGTTTCAGCGGCATTTACCGACCGCTGCAGTGCTGGCTGCTCTTCCACGGGAGTTTATTCTCCCGTTAGCTCCGTGTTAGCTCACATGGGAGCGATGTTTGGCATCACAACGCTGTTATGAAAGTTTCTCTGGTATAAAATGGGTGATGTTAGCATAGCAACCGAAGCTAAACTGACTACTTGCTATTGCTATCCTATTGTGGCATAAGCCATTTTCTACAGGCACATTTTACCGGCGTATTTTTCATTATGATTCTACTTGTGATAGTCGGACATGACAACCTGTGCAGCCCATGTATTGATTCCATCCGATAGCTGCTATAATACAAAACAAAACGTCTGCCTACTCTCAGGGACGTGCACAGGTACGGGCTAATGTTGCCCGGGCATCAGCCCGTTTGCCATTTTTGTCTGACCTGCCCCTCTGTAGAGCAGTTTTTATTTTTTTTTCTATTGTGGCCGAATCAACATGATAACCCCACAATTAGTATTGTTGCGTCTCGCTGCGGGAAACACACCTTTTCAGCGCTGTCATCTGCACCCAGTCACGTGACTTTGTTTACAATCTGACAGCTGGAAGTAAAGGAAAGCCGGATCTGGCCTCATATGGCTATGGTGATCACACCAAATGCCTGCCTGGCGTTAGAGTGTAAGGGACAAATCAGGGGACTTTACTTCATCTTGACACCGTCGGTTATTTACAAAAAAAACACCTAAATATACTTGTTATTGTGCTTCTGTTTTTCTGTAGCCTCATCTCAATACCCCTCCTCGACTCCTCCTTTCCCTCACTCACGTCCCTTCCTTGCGTCTTAGCTCCGCCTCCGTAAGATGCGAGCGAGAGACACGAGGAGGAGACGCGAGGACAGAGGAGTCCTCGGGTCCTTCTCAGGTCGACTATTTTCATTTCCTCGGTCGTCGGTCCTCGGTATCACCGGAAGTTGAGTTGTCTGCGCCATCTTGAGTAGCGTCCCATGGCTCTTATTTCTGCCGGAGGACCTAGGATCGAGGAGCGAGGAGCGATAATGGAGGAGCGATAACCGAGGAACCACCAGACCATCTTCCGGTGAAATCCTCAGAGACTCTCCCCGCCCCCTTACTGTGTATCGCTCACTGATTGGACGTTGCAGCGCATCCACTGATCTGTTGCTTCTTGACATGAGAGCAGTTTCCCAGCGGAGTGAAGAAAACACATGAAACTCACGGGACTCACTCCTCAGTTTATACTGTGTTTTGTTTCAATTAATGCATAATTCAGTTACAAATATGTGACATATCTGAACAACAAAGTGGTGAAAAATTATTTTATTTTGTCATTTCCATTCAGTCAGTCATTAAGTGCTATTTAAAATGTTAATTTGCTACATATCCACACAAACAAACAAAGTGTGCAATCCAATGAATGTTAATCTGGTAACACTTTACATTACAATAAGGTACACAAAATGTGCTTAGTTACTGCTTAGTTACTGAGGAACTACTAGATAGTTAATGGTTAGTTAATGAGTAGTTCCTCAGTGACTGCGTAGTTCCTCAGTGACTGCGATTGAGGAACTGATTAGTTACTGGTAAACAGACTGGGGGGTACTGCATTAATGAATAATTTGTTAATGGTTAGTTAATGAGTAGTTCCTCAGTGAACTTATGGTTAGTTACTGGTAAACAGACTGGGGGGTACTGTATTAACGAATCATTCGTTAATGGTTACTTAATGAGGAGTTCCTGAATTAACTAATGGTTAGTTACTGGTAAACAGACTGGGGGGTACTGTATTAATTAATCATTCGTTAATGGTTACTTAATGAGGAGTTCCTGGGAGACTTTGATTGAAGCAATGGTCCGCTGCAGCAGGGCACTTTTAAACCTGCCATCTTCGGCTGGCTTGGGTCCCACACTGGATCAACTGGTGGAGGTGGATCCGACTCACATTTTACTGCTTAAGTCATCATTATTTACCTTACCATTACTTAGGCCGTTTGGGTACGGTAAACTCAAGGAACGCAAACAAAAACAGTAGTTACCCATTACCTAATGATTACCTTACCGTTACTAAAACAGTAGTTACCCATTACCTAATGCTTACTTTACCATTCCTTAAGCAGTGTGTGTCCCCTCAAGTAAAGTAATGCATCAAAAACAGTAGTTACCCATTACCTACTGCTTACTTTACCATTCCTTAAGCAGTGTGTGTCCCCTCAAGTAAAGTAATGCATCAAAAACAGTAGTTACCCATTACCTAATGCTTACTTTACCATTCCTTAAGCAGTATGTGTCCCCTCAAGTAAAGTAATGCATCAAAAACAGTAGTTACCCATTACCTAATGCTTACTTTACCATTCCTGAAGCAGTGTGTGTCCCCTCAAGTAAAGTAATGCATCAAAAACAGTAGTTACCCATTACCTAATGCTTACTTTACCATTCCTGAAGCAGTGTGTGTCCCCTCAAGTAAAGTAATGCATCAAGCATTTCGCTTCCGCAGCCCGTGGAGAGAAACTGCCTCGCCGCGCCTCGCTCTCAAGTCTGCGGGCGTCTTTGTCCCGCGAGATTTCAACGTCTCATGTAGGCGAGCCTCCAGAGCAAGTCGGACAAAATAGGCTTGTTTGAGACAAGCGAGACCTGCGCCATTGCGATCAACGTCTTGCTCGTGCGTTGCATGATGGTTAGTCATTTTGTCCGACTTGCTCAGGAGGCTCGCCTACATGAGACGTTGAAATCTCGCGGGACAAAGACGCCCGCAGACTTGAGAGCGAGGCGCGGCGAGGCTGCGCAGTTTCTCTCCACGGGCTGCGGAAGCGAAATGCTTGATGGGAAACGACTCGCTGGTATCTCGAGCTGAGCGCTCATTGGTGGTTTTTACCCCGTGCTGGTGATGAAACTCTCCATTGGCTCGGCAAAAGTGTGTTGTTGTTTTGTGTCAGTTTTACGTCGCCACTTCCATTCACATTTTTCATCATTGTTCCACAATGTTTATCATCATGACATTAATATCTATATATTTTATACTATACTTGCACTGCTTACCGTTGTCATACTTTATATATCTTAGCATATTCATACAACACACTGTTCATACTAGGCTAGGCTACTGTGTATATCTAGTGCATTCATGCCCCTCTCTGTTTATTCATCATTCAATTCATTCTATATTTTATTCTGTAGATTGTGTACATTACTTTTCACTTTACTGCTTTATGCACTCCTGGTTAGAAGCTAAACTGCATTTCGTTGTCTCAGTACCTGTAATCTGTGCAATAACAATAAAGTTGAATCTAATCTTGAGCAGGAACAAATGTATTTACTTAGTACATATCTGACATTAACGATTAAACACATTTGTGCATTCTTTATAAATGCAAACCGAGTCAAGCCGACTCCGGAGGTGGCGGTATGCACCTTAAAGTTGTTTGCAATCCGCCAAAAAACCGAGAGAAGAAGAAGAAGAGGAAGAAGCCGACTCCGAGCTGTCCGACTTCAGGCGAGCTTTTTGAGACCTCCCCCGGCTGCGATCGGCTATTCTCGTCTACTTTCGAGGCGAGCCGCAGCTCGTCTCAAACAAGCCTACTGACTAACCATCATGCAACGCACTAGCAAGACGTTGATCGCAATTGCGCAGGTCTGCGCAGGTCTCGCTTGTCTCAAACAAGCCTAATATGTTTCACATGTGACTTATTCAAAATGCAAGTGATTGAGTGACAGATGAAGGTTGTTTATGGTGAAAATGTCGGAGAAGAAAAAGTGTGAGAGTGGCGCTCGGAAAAGGAAATTGTTGAGGGAAAAGGAGTTTCGAGACAAGCAACTATTACAAAAAATGCCGAAGCTTACAGGTTATTTTAAACCTGTAAACCAGGATGAGGAGGAAGGACAGAGGATTTCTATACCGAGCGGCAGCGGTGCCGGCCGCGGCGCCTCGGAGCCAAGTAGGCATAGGCTATGGGTGTTTCTCAATCGCGAGTAAAGCTGCTTCAGAGTCACTATTTCAAGCATACTACGTCATCGAGTGCCGCCGAAGTACTGTTCCAATCTCCAGCATACTTGGAAATCTACCGAGCCCGGCGTACTCCGTTTGGAGAAATATCGAGGCTGCACATGAGTAGACTCCGCGGTCTTAAATTCCCCACAATGCTTTGTGCACGGACCAATTTCCCCAAATCTGTGGCGGAAGATGTAAGGCGGGGGCCTCTCATATGACGCACACCTGCACACTTGCTAGCGTGTTCCACACTTCGTTTTCCGAATGCCAGGAAGTATTCTTGACTCGCTTCTGAAGCAAGATGCTCGGCAGACATGTGCTACCAAGCAAGCGTACTCGCGATTGAGAAACACCCTATGTCTGGTTCTGATAGCGATGGAGTAGCGGGAGAGGAAAAACAGACAGGAGGGACTTTTGTTTTGCCAATGTTGAACTTGGTCGGCTCCCAGACCGTAGTCGAGGAAACAGGGGGATGACTCTCTGTTGTCTCCCAGGGCAGAAGCAACAAGCTTCAGGCTCAAGCTTCAGCTCTTCAGGCTGTTGCATTTATTTAGTTCTTCTGTTATACACAATACTTGACAGACCTATATCTTCTGCTGCCTCGTTTCACTTCCAGAAACATACACATGCTCTACCATACCTTCACACACATGCACGCGCCACACCCCTCTCTCTCTCTTAAAGGGATAGCGATCTCACTGCATGACACTAATATCATAACACTACCCCCACTCTGGATGGCAATTGCACACAATTATAATCCAGCACAGTAAATTACATGACCCTTGCCTAAAATGCATACCGATAAACATCCACATTTGCATTCAATCCATTTACAAGTGGGCGATAGAAAAAGGGTCCACATTTCAGTGCAGATATGCAGTTATATAGCAGTCTTTGTGTGCACATATCACTGTGGAGCATAAGGAAACCCTGAAAAAGGCATTAATAGCTGAGCTCTAAAATAGCAGTCAGAAGGCATTCAAAACTTAAATTCTCCATTAAAATGACAACTTTAAATGGAAATATCAAAGACAGAAATATAACTTTAGTCCCATATGGTTATCAACCGGTGTGTGTGTGTGTGTGTGTGTGTGTGCGTTGTGTGTGTGTGTGTGTGTGTGTGTGTGTGTGTGTGTGTGTGTGTGTGTGTGTGTGTGTGTGTGTGTGTGTGTGTGTGTGTGTGTGTGTGTGTGTGTGTGTGTGTGTCTGTGTGTCTGTGTGTATAGTGTACGCATTACATAACAAAACGAATATACAAACAAATACAGACAAACCAGGGCTTTTTGGGGTCATTTTGCCACTGACAGTTTTGCAGAAATTCAAAATCAATCAATGTTCTTAAAAATAAATGTAAACTATAAATGTTTAGTAAACAGTATACATTTAGTGTACAAGAAAAGCCATGTTGATAGCCGAATTCGACTTAAAGCCTATTGAGGTTGACATTAGCTGGAAACAGTAACTTCCTAGAGCCTCTGTTGCCAGGCAACTCCGAGTCCAGATCATGTTGAAGACACTTTTTGTTTAAACTGTTGTTTCTGAATAATTAATTTGAGAACTATGTGTGAATCTGGCTTGGTCCAAAGTCATTGCTTAAAATAAATGTTGTTGCATGTCAATGGTCCGTCTAACATAGACAAAACCACATTTTGCAAAACTGATAACAGCATATTTCTAATTCCCACTGATAAACAAGCATGCAGACTGAATTTTCAGTTACAAATTAAGGTAACATCATTTTGAGTTGAGGATCGTTCATTATCCATAGCTTTTTCCATATTTGTATTTATTACAGGCTCCCCAGAGCTACATAAACCTATGTAGTGCAATTATAGGCTGCAAATGCTCCAACTGATACACCTATTGCACGAGCCCCAAACTGGACTGCTCCTGCAGGTAAGACAGCTCCTGCTACAAGAGCTGCCAGGGAAAAAATACCGAGCTTATTACACCAATCTTTCCCTCTTTTCCTTTCCTCCTCATAAAGTTTCTCCTGGGCTTGCTTGTACATCTCGCTGGTGTAGTGTTTTCCTCCATTATACTGCACCATTTTGTCTATCTTTTCCAGAAGACTTTCGACCTGGATTCTGTTTCCTATCTTGTTATTCATGAGAGAATGATACCTTCCTCCACACTGGTTTATCAGTCTTTTTAGATGTATGCTCTCCGAGACATATTGGTCCACTGATTTATGCTCTAGCATGTCAGCGTGTGTAAACAGAACTATGGTATACATGGAAGAATCCGAACCAAAATTATCCTGGATCCACTTCACAGTGGCCTTCTCCTCATCAGTGAATCTAGCCTTCAGACTGATCACTAACAGAAAAGCATGGGGTCCAGGAACTGACTGCTTAATACACTCCTCAATTTTTCCTTTCACAACTTCTTGTCTTTTGTTAGTATCAAAAAGTCCAGGACTGTCAATCACTACAATTTTCCTCTCACCATCATTAGACTCTTCTTTGTGACAGCCGTTAGTAACCGACTCAGGAGACATATCCGTTTTAAAGGCATTTGGATTTCCCAGGATGGTGTTTCCAGAAGCACTTTTTCCAGATCCAGTTTTCCCAACAAGAACAATTCTCAGGTCTTTCAGTAGAGTTGAACCTGTGGACAATAAAGAAGTGTGAAAAAACAGTAATTCAAAGTAGCTGAGGCATTTTTAGCTTGAAAGCAAAGGCTAATCGACTGTGAGGGGACGTAGTAATGCATTGGTTTGTGGAATAAAATGTGGAATCTTCTAATTTGGCATTTGGCTATTGCTATTTGTAAACCAGAAGTGCCATCAGACAGTCCAACTAAACAATTTGCATGCTGAAATATGTATGATGAAAACACTGAAAGCACTCAATCAGGTAAACACAAGCGGCAAACTCTGGGGAAGAGCCGGGACGCCAATACGGAAGTGCCACAAACTGCAGTTCATATATAGGCGATGACTGCAGAAAGGAGCAATTTCCATAGACCCCCATGTTAAAATGCCCAATTTTACAGCAGAAAAAAACATGTTTCTAGCCCTGGATGCAATAAATATTATTATTGATATAGTTAGATTCCACCTTCATGATTATGAATCTGTGAGTGAATTGTTTTCTAACATGACCCTTTTATTTATATTACTGTAGGTCTTAACGTTTTTGCATAAATTAGGGCGTGGTCACATTGAGTGACAGCTCTGTCAAGTGACTGCTGCTGTTAGCTTCTTGTCTCTCTGCTAGCTGCTCCGTCTCCGTGAAGCTACAGGGACTCTGCCTGCTCAGTTCATCCAGGGAACACAACTTGACCCCGGCCGTGTTTGTTTGTTCTTCATGCTTATATATCGGACTATTGTGACTCGCTCTGCTGTTAAAACAGACGGTGCATGAATGCCGTTTTGCGGTAAGTGAAATTCGAGTACTTTATTTATGTGTTTATGATTTCAATCAGCTACATAATGAATGTTAAGGCTTGGGTTAGTGTGTAAGTGAGTGGTAGCTACATCGGTGCTAACGATGCTAATCGTAGCCTGCAAGTTAAAACCATAGACTGTATATATAAAGGTTAAAACGAAATAGACAAGTGTTAAGCGTTAAGTGAGATAATACCGTAGAACAAAAGGCTTCTGTTTGAGGTTGATAACATAAGGTCATCCTTGTAACTTAGAGAGATATTTTATTATGTAGGTAGGAACTGTATGCATCGCTAAGGTTAATTTAAATTGGCTATGCTCGAGTATGTAGACAAGCTAACGTCGAAGTAGTGTATGTGAAATCAACCTCACAATAAGATGTGTGTATATTACAATTATTAATGTCATATTTCAAGATGATCACTTAGATATTACAATATGGATGGTTGAGCTGGAGTTCATTATTGAGCTTACACGTTAACGTCACAGTCATCTGAAGAACGAACCCAAACCTTGTTGTTTTTATTAATTGCATTACCAAATTGGTATCAAATAAACAGTAAGCATTGGTAACACAACTTCCAAAGTTACAGTAAAATAAAAAGGACCCTGACTCGGACAATACACAATCCAACATGTTCAACAGAAGATAATAAGTTATATTGTTTGTACACATGGTACTTTACATATATATCTGTTTGTTTAAAGTGTCCAGGTGATGCAGACAGGCTGGACCAGAGAGTGAGAGACAGCACTGGACTCCTCACAGCAGTGAACTTCAGCACAGGTACAAATACTCTTTTTTCATACTGTACAAAGAATCAAGAAAGATATTGGTTTAAATAAATGAAGTATTGACTTTAATACACTGATATACATTCCATTAAACAATACTAAATACTAGATCACCTACACATCAGTGAAATTGAGGGGTTTTTTCATGCAAAGGGTTACATTTAGATGTTAACAAGCAATATGACTGTCAGCTTTCTAATTTAAGGTATTGAAGGCAAAGATATTTAACGCATAGTGACAACTGCTATTTATCTCTCAATATTGTCTGTAAAAACGTGGTAAAAGTTATTCTTTCAGTGAGACAACAGAGCAAGCTTGTTTTAATAACAGTTAAATATTATTTTGATAATAAAATACATTTCAATGTTGATGAATTTCATACTGTTAATTCATAATCTGATTGTCTTTGTAGCTCACTGTTGAAATAAAAAAAAACATTACAATTACAAAATAATTATATCTACAGCCCCTAAAAACACAAACACACCTCTTTCATAAATAACACACTTGTTCTGCAATAATATGTTTTATGTTTCCTGTAATTTTTGTTAGGAAAGGACATGCCTGAAAGACACGACTCAGCATCTCCTCTTTCTCCGAGGGTCAAGAAAAACATCCAATAGGAAAATTAAAAGCTGATGTTATGAGATGTTAAGACCAGTACAGGACATTCACTAAGAAACTACTTTTATTGTGAAAACAGTCAGCTGATCGAATGCACCTATTTCCACATCTACACTCCATCAGCTGATTATTTCTATTTGCCTCACTTTATGAGCTTCACAACATGTACCTTGTACTGCAGAGTTTGCAACGCAAATAAATGGGGCTAATCTTCAGTCAGATGTGAATGTGTAATCTAACATTTTCAGTAAGAATAATGGACAAAAGGAGTGCAAATACAAATTCAATTTATTGAAATGTGAACCAAAAGTTAATCAAACATGTTTTAAATAAAAAGCACATATGGACAAAAGGTGTAAACCTATTAAATGTATAAGTAAACACATTTAGTCAAATAAAGTGACAGACTAGGCCTGATCAGGTGGTATCAGCTATGCATGGGCTCCTCCATCAGGCCTGGTCCTCCTCAGATGCCCCTTTCACACCGGCGCTTTTCCCTGTTCACACCGCAGCGGCGCCGCGTCATAGCTCCGGAATGCGGTTCACTTCCAGCTCAAAAAAATTGTCGGTCTAGAGGCAAGAGCTTCGGAGCTATGACACGGCGTCGCTTACGTCTCTCTTACGTCGAGGCGTGCAGGAAACTAAACCCACCTCCCCTGAACATGGGTCGACTGAAGAGTCTCGTCATGCCTGCCTACAAGTAGTAGCGCTGAGCAAAGTGACTAGAAGGCAACCACACACTTATAAAAAAAAACACACTTTATAAAGTCAGGCAACACTAACCAGGCTTCGTGTGATTCTGTTTATTTGTACCTTACTTTGACCATCCGTTCGCTGTTATTGATCATTGTGGAGAGCAGGCAGACGTTTTGTTTGTTATTATAGCAGCTATCGGATGGAATCAATACATGGGCTGCACAGGTTGTCATGTCCGACTATCACAAGTAGAATCATAATGAAAAATACGCCGGTAAAATGTGCCTGTAGAAAACGGCTTAGCAAGTAGTCAGTTTAGCTTCGGTTGCTATGCTAACATCACCCATGTTATACCAGAGAAACTTTCATAACAGCGTTGTGATGCCAAACAGCGTCAATTCAGACTGACACACATTCACTTAAGGGGAACTGGGGATATGTATCAGCTGCTTGTGTGACAGTCAGACAGTGAATACTTTAGAGCCGTGTGAGCTAACCCGGAGCTAACGGGAGAATAAACTCCCGTGGAAGAGCAGCCAGCACTGCAGCGGTCGGTAAATGCCGCTGAAACACATTAATAAACAATGAACCACGGCACTCTGGAGAAAAGTATAAGGTTGGAGAAGTCGTTATTTAATTCGTATGATTAAAAGCAACACGATCATCGACCCGACGCAGTCCCCCCCCGTTGTTGTTGTGAGCTCCGTTGGGGAGAAAATCAGCGATGTAAACGGTGACGTCATGACGCAGCAGCGGCAGCTGGGCGGTGTGAACAGAGCGGGAGCTGAAAAGGGAAACCGGAGCTGAACCAGAAAAGCTCTAGCTAGGAGCTAGAAAGGGAAAAGCGCTGGTGTGAAAGCCGCAACAGAGGAAAGACCCTCAGTCCTCTCCAAACCAACAGACAGGACGTCCATCACACGGAGGTTTCTCCCTGAAGTCTCTGCAGCTCTCTGGACACCACGCTGTCTCAATCCATCCACACTGAATATGAGAGGGGCAAAATGAAAATAATAAATGCTTAGTTTAGACAATAAGAAATATAAAGTTGACTGTTGAGTTGCTCAGTTTTTTTAGATTGTCAATACTATTACTGTATAACTAATATCTCAGGTTAAGAGGCACCTTCAAATAAAGATTGGTCTTTAAATACATTTTGTCTTTTGAATTGTTTGTCTAAAGTCAAGGATCTAGAACTGGTACTTATAGTTTTAATGATACAGTCTGGTTATTATGCTGTTTGGAGGAGGCCTCACAGGTAAGAGCACTAACTAGCTATCATCACATGTACCTTAGCTTAACTTAAATGTATTAAACGTATAATTAAGTGATGGCAAAATATAAATAACTAATGTCATGCAAACATATTAATATGTGCTTGATTCCAGTGTTGAATTTAGCACAATTGCATACAAACGTTAAGGGATTTTAAGATTCTGAAGTATTACCTTAGAAACGTAAAATGCGATGGCAGTGTGCAGATGGGGAGCATGTTAGCTTAGCTTGGTAGCTTCAGCTAGCTCTGGAACTTCAAGCCCGGTGGCAGCAGGTCCCGCCTCGGCTCCGCCTCTTTGCCCTTATTTGGAGCAGGTGGGAGTGGAACTCTGACGCCACTGTCGAGCCGTTAGTGGCCGACTCCGCCTACTAAGGGCTTCTCGGCAACTCTGCAGAATCCTATGGGTGACGTCACGGACCCTACGTCCATACATAGTCTATGGGTAAACACTGTGGTATTAATGTGAGTCACAAGGTAGCCACTCCCTGAAGCATACCTTGCTTTGTCTATTTTATTCCAAATGGATCATCATTTACAAAATGAATGCTGTATTGAAAATTAACTGAAACTAGTGATAGAGACCATAACAGTCAGGAAAAGGTTTATTTAGGTAGTCATTTTCTCGACTTTCTCTATGGAGTCTGACTTTTTTTTGCATAGTGTCATTGCCCCCTGTTGGAAATAAGAAAGAATACAAGCTTAAGCATTGACTGCATTTTCTTAAACCCGGATGCTGCCACGTTGTTGTGTCTGACAACCTTCACTATACAGTATTTTATCAGTTTTACAGCTCCAAATGTTGTACACCTGCAGTACAAATGGCATTGTTTCCTTTGAGTTCACCTACCTTCGGTTTTGCAGTGAGCAGTTTGACCACATAAAGTAACCAGCGCAAGCAGAGTGCAGCCTGAGATGAAAGCTTTTCCTCCCAACATCTCTGTAATAATGACCTCCGTCGATTATCTAACAATAAAAATAAAATAAAATATAAACGGTGCATACGGTATATAGTTATATAATCAAACAATGAAGATAAAGCCCTCTACTTACACTTACAATTATTATAAACGTACCTGTACAAGTGTTTCTCAGCTGTCTGGTATGTTTGCAGGTGGAGAGATCCTTTTATAGCCTAAGAATAACAAACACACCCAACAGTTTTATGACACTAATGCCATACATGCCAACCTTTCCAAATCCAAAAGAGGTAGGTTTGCGCGCGGCAAATGTGCACGCCCAAATTAGGTAATCAGAACCCCAGTATAAACCATGTATTTAACATATATTGCATCATTTTATGCATTTTTCAGAAAAAGTGGTGGTTTGGTAAACACTAAACAGTGACATCAACGACATGTTTGGTCTGTAAAATGCCCGAAAAGTAAAAGAATGGGAGATAAATATCCCAAAGTCTCCACATTTTATTATATTTTTAATGTGTTTCTGGTCCTCTTTCAGTTGCATTGTTGGAGAAGCCTGTGACATAAGATTTTCAACGACATAATTACTCTGTAGCTATGTTAGTTTGACAATAAAGAACCTTGAACCTTGACAGTGTAGATCAGGGGTGCCCAACCTTTTTTTAATCGAGAGCTACTTTTAAAGTGGCCAGTCTGCCGAGATCTACCAGTCCAAATAGAGAGGCGTAGCCATTAGTGACAGCCTACTACCAGGTAAATACACACTTCTACAGTACTTGTATAAAACTGACCTTTGTACGATTAATACTTCATAAAATACTGCAGATCCTTTATCTTACCTCTTTCTAATCAACACACACACAAGTATTTAACTGAAGTTACACAACAGTGTTGTTGATACAGAGTTGGGAGTTTATTCACACGTCACATACTACAGTGGGTAATGTTTTCAAGAAACATTGAACAGTGCTGCCACATATGATACAGGAAAAAAAGAAAAGACTGAACCCTTTCTTTGCCATTATATAAAAATAGTGTTGCTACAAAAGTATAAATTAGTTTTACTAATAAGACAACTCAGATCTGAAGCTACACAGGAATCTGCTGCCAAAGTGCAATAAAAAAGACAAAATTAATAGAATCAAACCCTTTTCTTTTTTTTGCATTTTAGTAGAGTATAAAAAGAAATGCCTTTAAAATAGGATGCAAGCAACACTAGTTTCTGAATTGATAATAGACTATAATCAATTTAAACAGAACAGATCTTAAAGTTTGCATTCTTATACCATTTTGTACAATAATTATAATGAATAAGTTCAAACAAACTAAAACTTACAGCTGATTAATAACGGTATCTAACTTGAGTTTTTATTATATCAAAAACCTGTTGAAATGCTACTGTTATTTTTACTGTCCCCAAAAAGCGCGTCGGCAGCCTCCAGGAATGCTTCTTTCACAACTTCGCCGTCTTTGAAAGACTTCATGTGTTTTGCAAGAATGTGACTGACACGATAAGATTCTATGGTAGCAGCCTTGCTCTTGTTGTTGGGCCTGGTGAAAATGGACTGCTGTGCATTTAGCTGTCCTTTCAGGTCCCTCACCTTTTGGGAGCGTAGGGCAGAATTAGGAGGGAATTCCGTCTCGTAGCGTTTGTGCACTGTTTTGAAATGCCGCTCCTAAATTACCCTTCTTCGATAAAGCCACGCTCGCATTGCAGATGAGACAGATAGACTTTGAATTGGAATAGATACAAAAATAATCATCCTCCCCACTCAGAGTGAAAATTATATATTTTGGGCTCTTTTGCTTCTGCCATAATTGTGGTCTTGTGTGTGCGGACTGCACAGCAAACTAGTGCCCACTGCCCAGTGCCCACTGCCTACCAGCCACGCCCCGATACATGGGGTCACGCCAATCACAAAGCTTTGATGCGTTCATGTGCATTATTCTGGCACAGGAAGATTATGTTATAGGATATTAACGATAAAACAGAATATTGTTGTTCTATTTTTAGACACATCTCGCGATCGACTGAAACACAGAGGACTGTTTGTATGATGGGATCACAGACACGCTGCAAACGGTGTCCGCCAAAAGTCGAGTCCAGTGTCTATGTAGTGTCATTTTTATTTGTTATAGTTTGGGAAGATTGAAAATCGGTAGGGAGAGTCAGCTAAATCGGTAGGCGGGTAGAAACATGTCAAAAGCGGTAGACTACCGCCCAAATCGGTAGGGTTGGCAGGTATGTAATGCTGTGCAGTTTTAAGTTTCGTTTGTGCTTCATGACATGTAGTTGAATTGGCAAACCATATAGCCTCAATCCACTGATCAGGCCAAACAAGAAAAGCCAGAACTGGTGGCAGGTGCTTGCTTGTGCATTTGTGTTCCATTTCTCTGTCATCTAACTGCGTGACAAGCCGCCTACCTCCTTCAGTCTTTTCTACTTGGCATGTTTTTGCCCCAGCTGCTGTGAACAAGCCACTGATTGTACTGTTGATGGACAGAGCTCTTCAAACCATAGGTGTATACAAACTCATATTCCCTCCTGTAAGTCCAACAAGATGTGATGAAAGCCGTAGTGGATGTTCTGAATCATTAGCTTTATCTGACATGAAATCATAAAGTAGCTGCACAATTCAGGTCTATTATATAGTCCAATGTGTCTCAGTGGGCTACTTTAACATCACTTAACAACCCAGTCAAATATCAGTGAAAGAGAAGATTAGACAAACATGTAGTTATTTTACATTTTCAAAAGCTGAATAGAGAGCTGTTGATCTTCCTATTGAGCAAAACTCTGCTCACTGACCAACGTAGATGGCATCTACAAAATACAAAGCAACACATTTTGTTTGTAGAACAGGGTGCTTTCAATTGTGAGCGGCCTTGGCAGAAGAACACATTTTCCAGCGAAGGTAGTAGAAAAACAGAATCACGTTTCAGAGGCAAAGCTGTTATCCTCTCTGGGCATAGTGTAGACCCGTGTGTACCATGTATGTGTGTGGTGATAATGGCATCCTCTTACCTGCAATGTGAATTTTCTCACGCGACAGCAGCAACTTATAGTTATATATAATCAAGCAGCAATTTAGCTTAACCACACCGCATTCAATTAAACAATTTATTTGAACATATTTATTCCATAAAAGTTGTTGTCACTTTAAAAAATGCATCTATCTGGTGAGTTTTAAGAAAGGATGATAAAGCACACAAATTAATGTTTGAAGTACTTGTATTGAAGCCGATGATAAGTGAGCACTTCAACCAACACAGTAAGTGAGACTGTGTTGCTTCAGCAGATGTGAAGTACAAATCTTCCCTATCGTCCCTTAAATGGCATATTCAAACATTTCATTAATGCACTAAACATCCCCTTTACTGGAGAGTCTAATACTTTTTTTACAGCTGTTATTGAATGCATCATGTACCTGCAAACAGTTCTATTTACTCAAAAGAGTTGGTTTCATTTGTCATCCCTAAATCTCTCTAAGCCTCTGCCTCATGGCGCGGGCGTTGTTCTGCTGCTTTCAGTCATAATGACTCACATGTTCACATCACATTGCTTTATAATGGCACCCAGCTAGAGCTCTGTGAATGAAGAAACTACTCTCAAGTGTTTACCCTTTTATCACTGTTTTTAGGGGTCTGGGTCCATATGTTGTGTTAACGAACTGTGTAACTTTTTTTCAAACGTAGGTTGGGATAAGGTCTGTAAAGCAGTGGCAATGGAAATGCGTAGGCCTATACTGTACCTGCTGGCAACTTTCACTAAATGCTGCACACACAGCAGAAACAACCAGCTAGTTGACAACTACCAGAAAAGGTGTGTTAGGTGCCCTTTTAATAAACACTAAGCCAAACGACATTCATTACAAGGGAATTTTTAAACTTTTATTTCTATTCATGGATATTAATGAGAACATAACATGTTCTGTTTGCTGGAACACTTTCATCATTGTAATGTCATTTGGTCGTTTTGTGTTTATTGTGTTGTCATGTTTTATGTGGACCCGAGGAAAATAAGCTGATGATCTGCATGGGGATCCTGATAAAAGACTAAATCCCTGTATGACTTGAGAGCAGTGGAAATCCTATTTTCAGGATGTGTGGGAATCCAGAGGAGAACTTCTGCCAATCGTGACTCTGGTACTCTGGTACTCTGGTACACACACACACACACACACACACACACACACACACACACACACACACACACACACACACACACACACACACACACACACACACACACACACACACACACACACACACACACACACACACACACACACACACACACACACACACACACACACACACACGTTATGTAATGCAATAATCATACAATAAAAATCAACTCCCTGACTCAACATCCTCACCTTCTCCTTCACGATAGATAGGTAGATAGATAGATAGATAGATAGATAGTTAGTAATTGTATATGTATGCTTCTTGTATTAATAGACCAGCCATTGTGCTATTAAAACATATTTTATTTTGAAAACATCATCTTAATGTGATTATAGACAGGAATAATGGCTTAAATATCAGTGCTTAATTCGTTGTTTTATCCGCTCTGTTACAATTCGTACTCGAATTGTCTCTCACTGAATCGGACATTTCTCCAGTGCTTTCCCCGGCTTGGTTGCAGTAAGTGGCCCAATGACTTGTCTGAGATCCGTGGTAAAACTGGGCCGACGGACCAGAGGATGCAGGGCGCCGAAGGCATCATCTCGCCCCGGAGTCTTGCTGACCCTCCCGGGCACACGGCTTGTCCGAATGGCCTGGTACGAACGCATGGACAGTTTGCGGTGCTGAGATGGCCCAGTTTCAGTAGGAAGCCCGCCTCGCTTTGCCAAAGTCTCAAACACTTTCTCCAGATTCGTGCTTTCTTTTGCAGACGTTTCAAAATATGCACATTCATCACCGAGGGATTTGAGCACTTCTTCCCTAGATATTGCTCTCTCTGATTCCAGGAGATCCACTTTGTTGGCGCAGACCACCAGAGGAATCTGCGGCTGTGCGCAATGCTCTGGCACAGAGGATTTGGTGAGCTTTAATTTAGCGGCCAGAATCTCCTTTCGTAGGGCACACACCTCTTCGAACGAGCTCCGGTCATCGAGACTGAATACCAGGAGAAAAATGTCCCCTGCATTAAAGACAAGAAATGAGTTGGATAATATGGATGCGAGATAGAAATAGAATAAGAATCAGAATCAGAAACAGTTTTATTACCAGGTAGGGTAACACTTATGATGAATTTTGTTGTGGTGCACATAAGATAAAACAAAGTTTAAAAACACAAAACTATTTGAAGAAAACTATAATAACATTAACAAATATTAAAAAATATATAGTAAAAAAAAAATAGCAGTATTGAATATGGTTGTAATCCTAGAAATATAATTGAATAAAATATTTGCAGCAATAAAAAGCAAGATTGTATACACTGTGTGCATTAATGTAATGCATATGGGTCTATGATGTGGCTGAATTACGCATGCACAAAACAACTGCAACGATTCGCCTGTTATGGTTATGGAAAACATATCAACTGAAAACAAATCTAAACTTGTGTCAGGACAGAGAATAACACGCACCAGTGAGGATAGATAGCCGCCGTTTGGCTGGGAAATCCCTTTCCCTGGACGCGTCCAGAACGTCAATTTGATAGCTCTCTCCACGAATGCGAAACATTTTCCTGAGGAAATCCTCGGAGGTGGGATTGTACTCCTCCAAGAATCCTTCTCGAAGGTATCTTCTGACGATGGACGTCTTGCCGACCCTTGGCGCACCAAGAACCACGATGCGCTTACAGTTCTGAGGCTTGGTCGGTGCTTGCTCTTGGCCAATCTTGCGCTGCCGGTTTTTACCGTGCAGAACCAGAGCTGCCAGCTGATCCAGGGGGGATCTCTTGCAGGGTTGGCTGCTGTTGGCGGTGGACAGTTGCCTAACAGGTGGCCCTGAACGCGTCTTCTTCTCCTGTTTCCACTGAGACGTGGCCACTTTAAGTATCCCCAAACCTGCTTTGATTCCCGATGAACTCAGGTGCTGTGAAGCGTTTTTGTAAGCCAGAAAGACTTTGGAGGTGCCGGTGCCCTTCTCGTCCATATTACCATGAAACTGGGGAGCATCTATGGAGCAGCTGAGCTGGTGCGCCACAGGCAGAGAGGTGGTCTGTGACACGGTGGAGATGCTGCCTCTTTCCATCGTAATATAGGTCCAGCCCGTGGCTCAACAATGTGGGCAGATTGTGAGAGCTGACGTTGCATAGGCCTGCTCAAGCTTGTCTCTGTGCAAAGGCTGATGCCCGTTGTCTTTATATGAGCCATCCTCAACCCCGTGATTCATGCGTCATGCTCATGGAGAGGGTTGTTGTGTTCCTCAGGAGAACAGTGTGTTGAGGAAACATGGGGGCTATACAACTCAGCGTATAACACATGATTTATATTTGCCATGTTTGATTGTTATATTATTATCCTATATATTATTATTAATAAAACAACCATTTAATGTATTATTTCATGATTATGACATTTGTTTTTGATTATTGTTATTACAGTATTAGCTTATTCATAGGTTAATTTAGCAAAATTAATATGCTTATTTTATTCCTGGCTCATTTTTTTTCTCCATGAAACATTCTGACATTTGACAACTTATCTATTGTTGTTCCCTTTCATTGTTTTGGTATTTTATTGCTTAAGAAAGAAAGAAAGAAAACATGTGAAAGAAATAAAATACTTTTTAAAACGTTATTTACCCGAATTAAACTTTGCACACAGAACCGAAAAACAGCCATACAAAACCAAAATAGAAACTAAAACAAAACATAAGAAAAATGAATTAGAAATCAAATTAATTACATAAGGCTCTAGTTTTCACAGCTTTAGAGTTTGTGAAATAGGCCTATTTAGTGTGTCCAGGTAGGACTTGAAGCAGGCACGGCATGCACATGTGTTAGTAGCCAATATGGAATTTTGCATATAAAACAACAAGACTGATGCCATTATCAAAATAACCAAATATAATTAAATACATAATAATTGAAGGTCATACCCAAAAGTCTGTGGTACAGTCCCAAATAGGCTGATTAAGGTTTGATCTGTGTGGTGATAGCAACTAGGAGGGTCCTTTATGTTACAATAACTGAATAAACCGGAAACACATGTGCAATACTGTCATAGAAAACTCACATCTTGTTTAAAACAAACTCCTCTGCTCCTCCTTTGTTTTGAAGCGTCGTGGTGACCATGGTTACCAATAGAGAGAACATACTTGACGCTGAGGTGCAGCGCTAGCTTGGTTAGCACTGCTAGCTAACAAACGCTACATTAGTTTACCGAAACTTTCACGGCAGTGAGAACAAATGAACCACGGCAAGTCAGTGAGTAAGGGGCTCAGGCGTCTAAGTGCTGCAGGTAGGCTAAGTCACACACTTCTGTGTCTTTCTTTTACCCCTGTCCATGTCTCTGTAACTGTATACTAGCTAAGCGTTTGCAGCACCATGACCTCTCCAGTCTCCACCTGCTCAGGAGCTGCACTGAAGTCAACAGCGAGAATGAAGCTGTGCCTCTCTTTATTTTTGTTGGAAAAGATACTCAGAACTTTGACTTTTGTTAAAGTAGCGAAACCACAAGATAACTAAGTCCTTCGTAAATTAAAGTGTTGCCTTCAAAAATGTTGATTATATTTCACATCATTAATCCAAATCTGCAAAGTAATTTAGAAGTAGGATAACATGGAAATAATCAAGTAAAGTACAAGTATCTCAAAATTGTACTTGAGTAAATGCACTTAGTTACTTCCTACCGCTGACAGTAACTGTGTCCATTAATACTTGAAGAAGAACTAATCAGCACTGGTGTAAAGTAACTAAGTAACTTAAGCTCCTTTTGAGAGACTTGTACTTTACTTGAGTATTTCAATTTCGTACTACTTTATACCGCTCCCCTACTACAATTCAGAGGTACATAATGTACTTGTACTCCACTACATTTATTTAGATCCCTTGCAAATTTGGATTAATGATGTGAAACATAATCAAAAATTAAATAAGGCTTTATTATCCCTGGAGTCAAATCACAATCGACCCTGCAGTATAAAGTCATTCAAACTAGCTGCACCTTTACCAGCTTTGATAACACTTTAATGATCAATCATTATGATCAAAACATATAATATACATACATCTGCAATGGGCCAATGTGTAAAACGAGTACTTTACTTTTAGAAAGTATATTTTGATTCTAATGCTCTTGTAGGAGCCATGAAACGTGTATAGTAATGCGTTTTGTTTTAATATAAGATATTTGTTTGATCACTATTGATTGGTTAGCTTGGGTCCCATGGATATGGGCAGCACTCATTATAATCCTGTTCACCTGCGTGAGGTGTGTGTGTGGAAGAGAGGGTGACACACAGGGTCGTTGTACTTTTTGTTGACCGCAAGTTTAATGATTGTTTGATTACTATAACAATGTATATGTCCAAGGAAAATAAGTTGACCATCCCAGATTTCATTAAACTATATTATTTTTCAACAGAGTTTTTGATCTCAGCAAGTACTTTTTTGTAGCGTGTCACACAATATCAAACAGGCCCGGCCTCAGCCTCTCAGCGACTTTGTTTGTTTCCTGCTGTCGCTATAGCTCTTGTACTTTTACTTCAGTGACATTTTGAGTGCAGGATTTTTTCTTGTAACAGAGTATTTCTACACTGTGGTATTTTTACTTTTGATCCGAGTACTTTTTCCACCCCTGCTAATCAGAGTTAAGATACCATACTTTAGTCCCAAAACTCCTTTGTAATTTGTTTTATAAATGGAAAAAAATACATTATGATTATTACTGTACAAACCATTTATGTTTTATCTAAACTTAGCCTATAATTATATATTTAAAATGTAATTTTTTAATATATTTTTTTGATTAATCGGGATATGCAAGGTAACTAGTAAAGTTGTCAAAGTGGAAAATAGGAAGATATTTTCAACTAAAATGTACTGTAGTCGAAGTAAAAGGTAGCATAAATGTGGAAATAACTCCTGAGTACTTGGGCAGCCTATATGTATTTTGTTGCATTCTCTTAGGGAGAAAATACATAAGATCATGGCCAGAAAAAAATGTGTTTCAGTGGCTGTTTCTTTTGCAAAAACATGTAGAATTGCAGCAGCAATTTCTTTGGATAAGGGCCAAGGGCTTTGCTGCCAAATCAAATCAATTATGTGAGAAACTGCACTTAGTTCGAGACTGACAACATGGAGGAAGTGAAGCAAAACACTTACAAAAGCCAAGGATTTTTCACTGTTGTTGTGGCCATGGAAACTATATTCAGAGAAATGAACAGAATTGCATAACCATGTCAGTGTTCCAGGGCGATAGCTGTGAGTTTGTGACCACTTATGTACTTTGCACAAATGAAGTAAAGCCTCTCTCACTTTTTAAAATGTAAGAATTAGGGATAAGCAACATGAAACATTATCTCTGTGTGGAGAGATTACCAAGACACTTGAAGTGTGAGAGCACTCAGAATGACTGTTCCCATTTTCCAGTTTATATCTTGACTCTCTCCTCTCTAGAGAACAAGAAGCTGAAACCATCAGAGGAGTTTCACATCTTGGGTTATGAGCAGCCCGAGATCTGTACTCTTAAAGACTGTGATCTCCAGGCCATGTCCTTTCAGCCACAGGACATCAATAAAGTAAACCCACTTCATCCATTTACAGTATTTACTATGAGTTTGAAATTAACTTTGCTCCCCCAAAAATACAAATCATGTTTGTGTGGCACCAAGGGTGTTTTAAAGCAGTTGAATATGTTACTGACAATATGATTATGTCTGTAGATTCATATACCTAAGCCACCGAAGGGCCGCCCCAAACCAGCTCACATGGCTCTTGTGCCTAAGACACAGCCAGCTGAAGGAGCAAGTGATACTGTGCAGGGGCCAGTGACTCATCCAGTGAATCTGGACCCTGACTCTCAACCTCCAGACTGCACAGGTTGGTCATCTTCATTTGTCCTCATGAACAATAACACATTGTACAGTGTACTGTAGTGAGAAAGTTATGTTAACCTGTTCATAATTTGTATCCTAAGGCTGAAATAAGTGTTATTTTCTGTTCCAATACATTTTTTTTTCAGGATCAGAAGGGTTCAACTTTGATGACCAAGAGATGGTTCTTCCACACAGCATTCTGGGTACTTTAGAGGATTTCCGAAGTTATTTGGAAGCCAAAGGGGAGACAGAGGTATATCATAATGAGACAAAGTGAAACAGCATTTACATTTTAACATATAGTATTTCAAATCTGGCAACCAAATACAGCTGTCATTCTGTAAACTGATGTAACGAAACAGAAAACGTTGACTGCGCAAGCCAACTCTGGTTCCTTCATTCCTTTTTCCACTATCCAGTTGGTGAAGCGAATAGCGAAGTCAAGGAAATATGCTCCATCTGAGGCCCCAGAGAGACATGGGTCTGAGGCTGTGGAGGACGGGCGTGGGATCCCTTCAGGCTGCAGAAACATTCAGAGCAATGCCCTGCAGCACTGGCAGGCTCACATGACGCAGCGCAGACGGCAGCAGGACCTCTTATCTGGTGAGCGGATTACACTGTACAGCAACCTGCACCAGAAATACATCACAATAATTTTTGCCTGCTTACAACCTAAAGAAAAAAGAATCAGCTCGCATTTTTATAAGCATTAACAAGAGGCACTATATTAATTTAAGGCAAATTAAAGATATTTGCTCATTTATACATTAATATTTGATTTCCAAAATACTTTTTCTCCCTGTTTATCCATCTCTTTATTCATCGGCTGCTCTGTTCAACTCTTTCAAGACATGCTCGACAGGCCGGTAGAGAGCTTACTGATGAACCAAGCCAACCATTACAGAGAAACTCAGGAGCAGAGGGAGTTTCTAAACCGAGTCATGCCTCTCATCCACTCTGGATATGTATGACACACATTTGAGTCAGAATCCTCTCCTATTTGATTTGATTTTCTCTGCGGCTTCTTCACTCACGTGTCTTTACATCTATGTCTTAGGGTTACCGTGTGGGCAGTGAGTTTTGGAGCCTCCCAGAGCGTTTTGGAGACGAAATGAGTGGCATCGCAGCCACTCTGACTCAGACGGAGCAGGGCAGATGGACACCTGTCACACACGTAGCACAACCGAGCAGCGTACGCCGGGAATCAGGTACACACAGAAACCTCCACTCTGTCCAATCTGCCGTAGCATTTCTTCAAACTGTTTCTTCTCATCGTGCATTCGCCTGGAACATCCAGTTGGCCCAACATTCTAAAAAGTGTTTGTGAAATCACATTCAAGATGTCCAATTTTCCCCCTGAAGACACATTTTTGATAACTTCACTTGGCGTTGAGGATAATCCCGAAACATCATAAAACAAATGCTCACCAAAGTAAAAAAGAGAAAAAGAGAAAAATGCCATGTCAGCCATGTCTGTCCCAAAAGGCATCCGTTGTGTGGAATTGTCATAATTGGCATATGTATTGTTGAGTTTTGTCTGAAAATGTGACCCTTGCCCCCCTAAATCTGATCAGTGTATCCTTGAGTCCAAGAGGAGAATTGTGCAACATTTGAACAAAATCCCTCCAGGCGTTCATTTAATTCCATGTTAAGAATGGTACAACTTGAAAACACTGTGCCACTGCAGTTGTAGTCGCTGATGTATAACGGGTCAAGATGAGTGATTTTTGGGGGACTACTCGGAATAAACTCTTATAATAAATCTCTCTGTGGAAAATGTTTGATTCTCTAGGAATGATTTCTGCTGAGACTCGTCCAGCGTCTCGGACTTGGGACCAGAGCACCTACCTGCAGCACCAGTGCCAGGAGCTGGGGGAGCTTCTGCAGGACGTGGATATCAAAAAGCCGGTAACACAACTCACACTCAACTGCAGAACAGCTGCAACAGATGTTTAAATCCACCAGGCATTTCTTCAGTTTTTTACAGTACTTTCCATCTCTTACAAACATCGATTAAGACTCAAGGATGAACTGATTGGGTTATGGTGGTCAAATGGTCAAGGTCACTGTGATCTCACAATAACATCGTTTTGGCAATAACTTAATTGCTCTTATGATTATACTGATAATTTCCCCAAAAATAATAGGATAAAAGGGTGACTTGATGACCTTTTTATTTAAACTGCAGCTTGGATCTTTTGTTTGAGCTGGACATGGATGATGTGAAACAGATATCCTCTGAGGTCGTACACTGAACCTAAAAAATATATGCACCATGTCTGTGTGCAGAATTTAATGACGCTGAAAAAAGTGTGATGTTTAATGCAAATTGCACACGGGCATGAACACACACACACAAAACAGTTTACATACTCTTGAGCAATTATGTGATGGTATCTTATTACCTGTAAAAAGTACAGCTAGTACACACATGCATGATGAGATTAATGAGGAACTGGAGCCCTTCCATGAACACTCATCTTCACATTGAGTCCATATATGAAGTCTGGAGCGTGTTGTATATTAGCACTGAAAAGATGTGCAGGGTAACACCCACACACACACATACATTGTGTCCGTGACATTAGAGGAAATGGTAGCAGTGTGTTCTGCCGGGCTGGTGGCTGTGTGATGCTGGGGGGGGGGTTGGGGTCTGAAGTGCCTCTTGACAAACACACAGGAGGAAACAGACTGTCCTGTCAGCAGCTGACTGGTCCGTGGCTTCGTGACATACAGGAGAGCGATAATAAGGAGAGGGAGGGGCTGTAACGAGAGAGAGGAACAGAGACAAAGGTAGGGAAGAGGGGGGGGCGAACGACAGAAAGGGCGGAAGAAAATATAGCCTCTAGTGGTACTCAAGAAGAAGAGTTTGAACTTCAGGAGAACAAAAGATTGCACTTTAATTATTATGTCACATGATATAATGTTAGAGCCAAGCTGATGATGTATTTTTGTTTCTGAGGCCAATGGAGACTGTTTCATTGAAGAAAGACTCAGAAATCCTCTCCTTTTTATGACATGTGTATCCGGTGTCGACTAGTGGTGTCTGCGTTGTGTTGTGGAAGGATAAGACCAGAGTCATCATATCGTTGGAGCCAATCTCCGTTTATTCTGACAACAGATGAACAACAAATCAGTCGTTACTACAGTATATTGTATGCCCTCACACTTCGGCCCCTGCATAGATTAAATAAGAAATAACTAATTCAGTATACACACATGTTCATAGCTTAATGCAGAAATGTCCGAACACATTGCAGTTCACCGCTTCCGTGACACAAAAAGGGAAGAGGAAAATGTGAGGGACACAATATAAAGGGGGGAAGTCCCCACAAAATAATCGTATTGGTACACGGACTGAATAAATAAATAAATAAAAGTGCATGACAAATATATTTGACAAGGATCCCTAAAATGTACCTTTTTACAGAAATTTGACCAACAACTAGCAAAAAATATGTAATGATGACATTTACCTAAATTCAATATTTTCACTGCTTCTTTGAACACACATGCATATACATGTTTCACAGTTGTCGGGGAAAGGTTTTAAGGATAGTGTATGTGCACATTGATAAAGTTTAATTTAGCCATTGACATCCGGACTGTGTGTTCCACAACACCTCGTCCTCGACACCTCCTTTTGTCCGTTCCGGCTGCACTTTCTGGATGTGCGTTGACAGGACATGCGTACCCTGAAAAGGACTCTGGGTATTGTGTTTCAATGCCCCGTGTCACAATGTTGAATGAGCATACAAAGCTAACTACCTCCTTCACAAACCGACACTCACTGTGTGGCTTTTATTACAGGAGATCCATGGACTGGAGGTTATTGGCTCCAGCACGCCTGTCACTTCTGTCAGAGTGTGTCGTGGTCCCTTACTGGAGGAGCTGGAAGAGGAGACAGAGCACAAGAACATGAGGAAGGAGGACCTGTAAGCTGGGCTTTATTGATTTTTAGAGATTTGCCATTCTTTCTTACCAAAGCTTGGTTAAATATGTCAAAATCAGGCAAATCTTGTCCTATTTCAAAGGCACTACAAATCACTACCCACAAATCAGTGATTTAATTTTGTATTAATTTTATTTAGGAAATGCCATATTATAGGTTCTTAATTTAAATTGAATGAATGGGAACCATGTCATAATCTCCAGTACATCTTTTTAATTTTTTATTATTTACGAGTCATTATTATTATTTAATTTGTTTCATTAAAAGAATAACAAAACTTGTTTTTAAAATAAAACATTTTTTCCAGGTGCTGCACATGTGGTTTAAATGTGAAGGAGTTATGAACCAAAATACCCAGATAAATATAAGAGGGAAATGCAAATTTATGAATCACAAAAACTCATATCGAATGGATCGATTTTCATATACATTTTTATTCTCAGTTACCCATAATGTTGAAGTGTACGTCTCAACATGAACTGCATTTTGTCACTCATGTTAGGGCAGCTTCCTGATGCTAAGCTTACAAATGTTAAGTTGAACAAGAAACGCTTGAATGCATCATTGCCTTCAATGGTTCTCCTTTTGGGAGCTGGTTTTGTGCAGAGGGAAGAATCAGCATTCCAGATGTAAACAAAACATAACAGCACTACACATTCAAATGACATTCAAACTAATTTAATAAATCCATATCTAGTATCAGAAGTCAAGATGCAGTCTAGTTTCTATCTTGTTGGCCGTGTGGTACTCCTGCTGTATTGTTCTCTTCCACAGGGATCCTCTGGCGCAGTACGATGATGTTTGGACCGACGCTCTGCTCATTCCTGCCTTGAGGTTCGATGGTCAACTTGCTAGCTGGACTGGAAACTCTCCCATCAACCAGGTACAGAGCGGCCTTAAAACAGATAGTTAGTCTGCACCAATGAGTTTCAAACCATGATATATCAAATATGATATCTTACCTGAGATAAACACCAGGCTCATAATATGGACATGCTTTCATTTCCTATTTCCCCAGTTGCACAGTCTAGTTAAATTCATTATAACATCCCTGAACGATGTTGAGCTGCCATGAATCAGCATTTTTCCTGATTTTTTTTAATTAAACAGAAACGACTGTGATTAATTACAGTATGAAAACAGAATTTCTAGAAGGAATAGAGATTGAGTTGATAACACAACTGCTGTGATGGAATAAATGCTGTAAATGGATATGAAGCTACATTTACCATGTGAGTAGACCACAAGTCATTTCACCTTCCTCCATGTTTCTCTACCTGCCGTTTGCCTTTATTTGTCCATGCTTCCTGTTATTGGAGACGCCTACATCATATTAATACACTTTTCCCTCTCTACCACTCACTGATCAGGGACAAGTAGGAATCGGTGCCACAATTATCTTTGAGGCCCTGACTGGCGAAAGAGCATCATCCCACCTGGAGCTGCACAATGAGGGCAGCTCGGCCATCTTCTACAGCTGGCAGCAGCTTCCCGTGCCATGCTGCCTTGCTAACTTGCGATCACACACAATGCGTCATCACTTCTACTTCAACTCTTCCAGTGGTAAACACACACACAACCAGACACCTGCTAAGCCCTGGTCACACACTGTTTGTCCCAGTTTCAGCCCATTATACTTTATCTTTCAGCTCGTACTCATTGCACCTCAACCAGTATTTAATTATGCTTCCACTCCCATCCAGGCGTTATGCGTCCAGGCGAAACCCAGCGTGTTGAGTTCGTATTTAAGTCAGAGGAGCCAGGCATCAGAACTGAGATATGGCAGCTCAACACCCACCCTGTGCTGCTGCGAGGTGCCTCCATGCAGGTCTCTCTGAGAGGAGTGGCTCTGCACCAGGACACAACTGCAGACCAGAGGCTTTTCATACAGGTGGGTACAATTACAGTGTGTTTTAGTGAGCTGCAACTGTTGCACAATTTTGAAAATCAATTAATCGTAAAAGTAATTTTTCATGCCAAAATGGCTGAAAGTACTATATTCTGCTTCTTAAATATGGAAATGTCATGGTTTTCTCTGTTTATTTGATCTATAACAGAATATATATTTGGGTTTTGGACTGACAAAACAACAGTTTTAAGACCTCCTTTAGACCTTATGAAGTGGGGATGGCAATTTTCACTGTTTTGTGACTCGGTTTTTCTTATCAGTCTGAAAAATGTAAGCCATTTTATTAAATATTGGGAAATAAATGAAAATAGTTACTAGTTGCAGTTTTATCTGAAAGTACGACTGCAAATTGCAAGGACAGATGGCTGAGATCTTCTTGAAGCCCATCTGTGTTTTTTTATCTGTGTTTCTGTTGTGTGTGCACGAGCAGACGAAGCTGGAAAAGATAGTGAAGGAGAAACTGTGTCGGTCCATTGTGTATGACGTGCTGCGGGGGGTCCGCACCCCAGAGAGACCCAGCTCTCCTGCAGAACTCTACGTCACCGAAGAGCAAGAGTTTTTACGCCAAAACCCCAAGGTAAATACTACAAGTGGAAGATGTTGTCCTTAAATCATCCCACACTTCAGTTTTTATAGGCGTTTCTTTTCATATAAACCCTCCTTAGGACTTAAAGGTGGGGTAGGTCATTTTGGAGAAACCAGCTCGAGTGCGCTAGAATTTGAAAATACGCAACCGGAAAAAATCTGCCATTTCCTTACAGAGCCCCTCCTCCAACACACACGAACGCGCACATGACCAATGAGGGCACGAGATAAGTTTGTGCACAGATGGAAGGCTGACAGGCAGGTAGGCCATCCAGTTATTTTAGCCGGGCCGGCTAAAATGATTGGTTGTGCTTTTTACAGCGCCACGGCTTCCACAGATGACATTTTTTTATGTATTTATTGTCAAAGCATTTAATGTATTCATTGCTATCGGGATGTTAAGAGCATTCCATGGAATATAACAAAAAGTGTTTCTGAAATAAATTACATACCCCACCGTAATTTATTTTTTACATCAGTGATATACCAGACATGTTTCTTTGTATATAGTACCCCCTGAATCTTACTGTGTGAGGTGATCCACCAGTGGGCCCATCGTGTTGTTCTTCTTGACATTTTAACTGAAGACAAGGGTGTGATCAGCCCATTATAGCATGTCCTTCACAAACTGAAATATATCCATCCATTATCACACTCATAATAGATACAAAATGATTATAACTTCAATTAGTCACTGTTGCCACTACACTGTACTAAATATGTCATATACTAGTGTCCTAGTAACTGGGTATAACTGGGTTAATTATGAGGCTGATTTAGCTAATTAGACTGGTACAGTGAATATAGAGCATGGCTGTAGTAAAGGCCCACTTAGCTTTGATAGACAACATCAATAGACATGGCAGCTAATGATTGAAAACAACATAGGAAAGTGTAACAACACATTAAGAGTACATTTATCTGTTTACAGGCTATCTACACTAATTAGGATGAATAGAAGGCTTTTCTTTCAAAAGTCATTACCAAATATTGTGATGATTGGAGCTTTCTAACCCTAACCCACATTTTATCACCACAAAGGGTGGCACACATTTGTTGTCCTCCTTGGAGTCCCTTCCACAAGGTGTTTTCAGTTCATAAAAGTTCATTGTAATTTCAAACGTAAGGCTTCAAACTGTAGTCCACAAACCAATAGACAACATCGCGGTGACGACGTCAACTTCTTATTTACAGTGTTTGATTTATTCTCCAAACACTGTTTTAATTCAATCATCAGCCAGTGGAGGACCTAGAGATACCAAGGGTAATCAACCTCCAGTGAAAAGTGAGGTCAATGCTGGTGAGCCTTTAAATCTGCATTCTTTCTAAAGACCAGCAGGGGGCGACTATACTGGTTGAAAAAATAAATCAGATTATATAGAAGTCTATGAGAAAATGACCCTACTTTTCACTTGATTTATTACCTTAATAAACTTTTTCTTGATAAAGTAATGGTCTCAATCGGTAATTGAAGTTTTCTTCAGTGCAACATGATGTTCATTTTGTGTAAAGTATTGTCACAATGAATGTACAATAGATGATAAAGCAGGGTGTGGTTTAGGACGTGGCTACGTTGTGATTGACAGATAGCTATGGTGTTGTCTGGATGTATGGTTTATACTGCTTATATTGATAACTACTCCATACATTATTTTAGTTGCAGTATCTTTATCAGCCAGTGGAGGACCTAAAGAGACTGTCGCAAGAAGTGCAACCAGGAAGCAGCTGGGACCTCTCTGTGGATACACTGCGACAGGTAGAGACATTATTTAATGTTAAGGTGCATGATAAACCTTGGTTAGTACAATTAAAGTACATGTAGCAGGTTGAACCAATGTGACGGTCCTCTTTGAATGCACTGTGCACTTGACTGTCAAATGCTATACCATGATTAAAAACACAACATATTTATTTGTCTATTCATTGGTTCTCCACCCAAGGTTGTTCTGTCTCTGCCTAAGCATGAGTCGGCTCAGGAACAGAGCCTGGCCCGGATCAACTCTCTGATTCTGCAGCTCGCTGAACCTCCTCAGCTCAAGCAGCAGCAGCTAACTGCAGGAACTGTTGGGTGAGGCATAAACACAAGCAATGAGTCATGAACCATCTCTATCATAGCTTCTACACACACGATACACACTTGTACATAGTGTAGTAAGCCGACAGTGTTATGGTGGTATGTGCTGCCCCCTGCAGGCAGCAGCTGTGGAGGGAACTCCTCGACACCATGGCTGGTGAGGCCATGTGGCTCAGAGAGGTTATGGGCCTTCCAGAGAGAGACACATGGATCTATGAAAAGGAGGAATCCCCAATCTCTGATGCTGGTGAGACTCAGACTTTCAATAAGATGTAGATTGATGGAGATTCCTTATGCTTACTGAGTTATTTAATCGCAGATATGGCTGATACCAAAGATGAGAAGAGTGAGAAAAAGGGAGGAGCGGCTGCTAAAGAAGAGAGAAGTGGAGTGAAGTCCAGAGTTAAGGAGGACAGCAAAGTGGAGTCCAAGTCAGCAACAACTGAAAAATCAGTGGAGGTGAGTGAAGAGAAGGTGTTTGTTGCCTTTGACAATTCATAGATGGGCTGCTGTAAGATGTTTTCTCCACTGAGTGGAAGCAGATCCAAAACTTGTTTTAATTATGAAGTATGAAGACACATCACTTCAGATGACTTACAGCTGACCCAACTGTGAGTCATCTTCACTACTTTGAGCTGTCAGTTCATCATTCATCTGACATTCAACAACTCCCATTTTCCTGTTACTACAGACTGCTGCCACACATTAGGCCACCTGCTGCCTGGTTCTCTGAAACAATGTTTTATACAGTATATCATGTGTGTCACCATCACACTTGAGGGTTCATTTAATGTATAAGAGGAGCAAAAACAACTGTGTAACAATTTTTTTTAAAGAATCACTCTTATTATTTTTGACATTTCTAGGCCATGTTCTGGTATTGACCATAACCATGATATTTAAATATAATTACCACAATATTAAAAGGATATTGATTTCATGTTTACTACACCCATATAATAATATCAATCATTACAGTTCCTTCAGAGTGTAGTTTATTTGCCAAAGAATGCACAAAAAACAAAGTTAAAGATGAATTTGACCAATTACACACGTATTATTTACATTTGAAAAGAAATCATTTCTAAAGATATCCCATTCATGACGTTTTTCTGAATTATTTTGGCCAAAATAGTGAAAAATCATAGTGGAAAAATATGGTCGTGGTCCTATCCTGTTTTTTTAATAATGCGCAAAAACACTTTCACTCAGTTTCTATTTGTTTTTAATGCAGATATTTGTTTTCACCAATCCTCATTATACTCAGCCCAGAAACTTTGCATGGTCCTCTTCACAAATCTGAGCAACTTTGATGATGCTGCGGCCTGATGACTCAGATGGTCGTCACATAAATAAAGTGCTCGGTGTGAATCTGCCCAGGGACCTAACGATCCGTGTCTCCATTGTCAGCCATCAAAGGCAGAAACAAATATTACATTTTGAAACAGACAACAGATGCAGTCTTTTCTGTGTGTGTGTATTCTGAGTATTCTCTACCCTGCATGATGGTTGAGTCATAGGTAAGGTACAGACTATTACTCACAGGGTACCATGGTAACAGGACACTGTGTGAAAACGTGCACCTGCTCTCCAACTGTGTGCCAGGGTTTGAATTAATAGACCCTGGACCAGTCCAAGCTGTGGTGCACAGCTATACACTACCTGGTACAGAACAATTTATTAAACAACCACTGGAAATGTGAGAGGTTGTTTTCATGATGTAAGATGTGGCTAACTATGAACCAGACAACTTGTTTTGGAAGTTAGATTTATTTCATTTATTTTATTTCATTAACTGATGTCTGTTGTCTATCTATCCGTTTTGTGTACAGGACAGCAAAAAGAAAGGGAAACGAAGAGAAGACGTGGTGAAAAGCTCTAAGGAAAAGCAAGGGAAGGAATCTGCCTCGCTGACTGATACCACCTCACAAAGCGTCAGTCAAGAATTTGTCGAAGACCCAAATGTAGAGCCGGAGGCGATGGGCATTTACAAAAGACTCCTGCATACAAAGGCAAGTTTTTCAACTATCTTACAGTATTTTAACCTGTTAAGCCTCCCGCAACATCTTGCAAGAAACAGCGTCTGAGGGCATCTTAACATTTAACAAACTATGAATGTGTCATACCCACTTAACGGGAAGATTCTCAGCTACCTGACGATATGAACCATTTTTACCGAAACAAAACACAAGTCTAACGCCGAGCCTCTGAATTAGCACTAAGCAAAAGAGTGCTAACGAACTTAGCACATAACTCACGGTAGAAATATTGTATACTTCATCGGATCTGCACAAACTAGATATCATATGAAAGCTGAGATTCCATGGATTCCAGTGGTATAAGTATCATCACTGTGCGACCAAATCTCACGGCAGCGAAAACAAGCAAAGACAACACACAACTTCACTTTACGTAGCCAAAACGGCAAATATGTCTTACCTTTGCTGTTTTCTGATCAAAAGTTGTGTTCAATGGCATTAAAACGCATATAAACGCTGCTGAAGGTTAATCCAATGTCTCTGTGTCCCTTTGAAATGATTACTGATAATCCATCATAACATTTATGTCAATAACCGGAGTTTTCATATATAGCTGCTATGAGAGCTACGAGAGTGTATGAGAGCTTCCGGTTTTGGGCATGCTGGCTGCGCATCACTCTCATTCACCAATGGTAATGTTTAGATGGATTTAGGAACTTCCCCTCGATTCTATTGGCTCTATCGGTTAAAAAGAGGTGTCAATCATCAAAATCGACCGATGGGTTCCAGAGATATGGCAAATCCACCCAAATGACCCCAGAGGTGGGGTCTTTTTTTCTAAACCTCTCTAAAAAGGTCAGATTTCACTTGTTTTGCATCAATCTTGATATTTGGTAGGATTCGCTGACTACACAGTAAAGGAACAGATCCTACGGCAGGCCTGGACACAGGGCCAAGTGAAGATGGGTGACAGGCAAATTTACTTCGACAATGATTACTCACCTGAACTGCAGAGAAAACGTGCCCAGGTTAGATATGTCATCAAAGAACTCAAACAGGAGAATGTCAAAGCGAAGTGCCTATACCCAGCTCGGCTGAGGATGATGGTGGGCTCGGTGGAAAAAACATTTCAGACACTGATGGAAGCCGCTCCGGCGCTTCAGAAAATGAACATTCAGATCCGAGTTGATGAGCGGGACAAACTTCAGAGTGAGCTGACCAGGCGCCGATGAGAGAGACAGGACAACCGCAGAGGGAAAAATGCGAACTTGCTGTCGGAGGAGGACTGCAGGGTTTTCTTCCCTGGAAACGGCTGACAGGCACGATGAAGTAAGCTTGATCATTCAGTCAGAGATGAACATCTGTGAATACGTTTTCTAGAAGGGCTCATTATTTTTATTTTCATTTTACATTAGCCTACACTATAGTTTATGTTTGAATTTTGCCGAGTACAGAATGTTACGTTACTAGCATAATGATCGTTTGGGTTAGGATCCGCGGTTGCGACTGACTAACAAAACGAGTGACTCACACTCAGCCCTAGGGCCGCAGCAGTATAGCCAACGGGCTGGGTCTGCTGCATTTACACGTTGTGTGTTTATCCCAGAGAGATGCCGCCACTCTCTGCCCGGTTCCACACGGGGACTGGTCGCTTTGCATAGACCAGTTGAGGTATTGGAAGCCAGTTTGAAGTGTTTTGTTTCTAATACTGTGTTTATCATTTTTGTTACTCTTTACTCCTTTACAGCTGATAGGACCGTTACAATGTATGACCCTGCACTTGACATCTTCAGTTTAAATAGGAGGCCCTGCCATGACAGCAAGGACTAAAGGTAGACCTATATTGGATAGTATAACTGTAGTTAGTTACAACATTAAGGGATTGGGAAATCCTATTAAGAGGAAAAAAATACTTTCTCAGCTTAAGGCTTTGAAATGTTCAATTGCAATGTTACAAGAGACCCATATGTCTGAAGTTGAGCATTTAAAGTTGAGGAGAGACTGGGTGGAACGGGTTTACAGTGCATCGTATAAGGGTGGGAGGAAGAGGGGGGTTGCGATCTTATTCAGTAGGTCTGTGTTCTTTACCAGTGAAAGAGTAATTCAGGACGAGGAAGGCAGATATGTCATGGTGATAGGCACGATTGGGGAAGATAAATTCACATTTCTAAATTGATATGCCCCGAATGAGGACTGTCCTTATTTTTTCAAGAAAATAGCTTCCAAATTGGCAGATGAGAGGGAGGGAACTATTGTGATAGGGGGGACTTCAACTGTGTATTACATTTGAGCATGGACAGATTGCCTGCTAAGAAGGGACTCGGATCTAGGAAAACAACCACTGCCCTGGGGATGGTAGATGGACTGGGTTTGGTAGATGGACTGGGTTTGGTAGATGTCTGGCGATGTCTCCATCCCAAAGATAAAGATTATACATACAGATCTCTAGTTCATGGGAGTTACTCTAGAATAGACATGTTTTGCCTATCTAAGGTTGACATGCATAGAGTAACAGAATGTAAGATAGAAGCAATCACACTGTCTGACCATGGCCCCATCACAATGAAAATGAACCTAGGTCAGGATAGACAATTCAGATATTGGAGGCTTAATGTCTCAATATTAAATGATCCCCTGATCCAACAGGAATTACGTGACGGCCTAAAGGAATATGTTGATATAAATGATAATGGTGAGGTTACTTAGGTTAGGGAAAGATCATTCAAATGTCCTCTAGATTAAAAAAACAAAGAGAGGCGAGGAGACTTAAATTAGAGACTGAAATAAATAGACTTGAAAGGGAACACAAAGTATCGAGGGGCAGGGTCACACTGGATTTGCTAAAATATGAAAAACAAAAATGAGATGATCTACTTACCTATAAAGCAGAGGGAGCGCTTAGATTTGTAAAAAGAAAATATTATGAAATGGGTAATAGAGCGAGTAGGTTATTGGCCTTTCAACTACGCAAGGCTCAATCTAGCCGAGTGGTTTCTAAAATTAAACATCCAGACACAAAGAAAGTTACATCTCAGTCTAAAGAAATAGCAGAGGCATTTGCGGTGTATTACAAAAAGCTATGTGAGGGCCAGGAGGTACAAGGGAAAGAGGATAAGATATCACGTCTCCTTGACTCGGTAGAATTAAACAAATTGTCACAGGAGGAGGCTGACGTGATGTGTTCCCCCATTACAGTAGAGGAAATAGTAGATAGTATTGGTAAGCTCAAGAATAACAGATCTCCCGGTATCGATGGGTACTCGGGGGAGTACTATAACGTTTTTGTGAATGAGTTGGCGCCAGTCCTACTGTATGTCGGGTATATAATTATGCATTGGATGAAGGAGACCCACCGAAATCCTGGTCAGAGGCAATCATTACGGTTATTCATAAAGAAGGGAAAGACCCCACACAATGTATGGGTTATCGGCCTATAAGCCTTCTCTGTCAGGATTTAAAAATCATGACCTCTATTCTGGCTAGTATACAGAGGTGCATTAGGAAGCTAGTACACCCAGACCAAACGGGATTCATTGCTGGGCGCCATGGTACTAATAATGTTAGAAGAGCTTTCAATTTACAATCACTTGCCGCCGGGAGGAAAACCCCATCAATGCTTCTCAGTCTAGACGCTGAGAAAGCATTTGATAGATTAGATTGGACATTTCTGCAGAGGACACTGTCACATATGGGCTTTGGTCAGACCTTTATTAACTGGGTCAAAGTGTTTTATAATAACCCAAGATCGAGAGTTAGAGTCAATGGCCACTGCTCGGATTTCTTTGCGTTGGGAAGGGGGACGAGGCAGGGAGATGCGTTATCCCCAGCCCTGTTTGCTCTTAGTATTGAACCTCTTGCAGAACTAATCAGGAGTAATCCTCATATACAGGGAATAAAAGATGAGGATGGGAATCAACATAAGGTGGGTCTATACGCGGACGATATAATATTGTTTCTGGAAAATCCAGAGTCCTCTGTCCCGGCCCTCCTACAAAATCTGGAAGAATATGGCCTGGTATCTGGATATAAAATGAATCCCACTAAGTCAGAGGCAATGATGATCTCGGGGATGTGGCCAAGTCAACTTGATAGTACAGTGTCCTTTCACAGGTCTGGTCAGGGATTTCGATACTTAGGGATTGCACTCACCCCCAAAATAACACAGTTGTTCCAAGCTAATTATAAAAAGATATTTGAGGTGTTTAAAACTGACTTAACTAGATGGGATGTGCTGTCGTTGTCACTTTTGGGTAGAATAGAGGCTGTAAAAATTAACTTATTACCCAGACTTTTGTTTTTGTTCCAATCTCTGCCTATTTGGGTCCCGGCATCTGCCTTCAATATGTTGGATAAACTTATATCTAAATTTATATGGCAGAATAAGAGGCCGAGGGTGAGATATAAAACTTACTCTTGGGAAGGACCAGGGCGGGCTCAGCCTTCCCAACATAAAGCACTACTTTTGGGCGGCGCAATTAACAGCAACGGTAGCCTGGATTCGCAATGACACAGAGACAGGATGGGTTAGTATAGAGCAGAGCTCATTACCAGGGATACCTTTGTCCACTCTGGTTTTCATGAGCCAACAGTCTCAAAAGAAAGTCGGAGTCCAAAACATATATGTGAAACACACCTTAAAAGTGTGGTCTGCGGTACAAAAGAGATTTAGGGGGACAGTTGCTCTCTCTCGAGCTATGCAAATTGCTGGAAATCTAGAATTCCTCCCCTCAATAGCGGACATAGCCTACCTTTAAGAAGTGGGCAGACAGAGGTATAAAGATTATTGACCAATTATTTTATGATAATATTTTGCAGCCATTTTCCTATCTCCAGGAGACGTTTCAGTTACCATCGTGTGACATGTTTAGGTATTTACAGATTAGGCATTACATTACAAAACATAGAGATTGGAACATAATCAAGAATCCCCCAACAAACATTGAAACATATTTTATCAATATAATTAGGCACAATATACCGACTAAGAATCATGTTTCCCATATTTATAGGAACCTATTAATGGATTTACCGGATAACACCTTCCACATAAAAAATAAATGGGAGTTAGTGTTGAATATTATAATTGAAGATGGGGATTGGGAAACATTGTGTTAGGGCTGTCACAAAGGTATAAACAGTAATATGTGGAAGGAGTTTGACTGGAAGACAAAGACACAGTTCTTTAGGACACCCTTGATAATTTCCAAATTTGTAGACACCCCCACAGCAAAGTATTGCTGGAGGGAGTGCGGCCTGATTGGTGACCACTCACACATATTCTGGGACTACCCAAAGATGGTCTCCTTCTGGCATGGGGTAAAGGAGGAGATAGACAGAATTATGGGAATAGATCTACCGCTCAACCCTAGTCACTTTATACTTGATCTGGTTGCAGAGGATGTATGTAATAGAAACCAGAAGTACCTGTTGCATATACTCCTGATGACTGCTAGGAAAATGGTAACATTGAATTGGAGGAAGCCACAACCACATACACTGGCGCAATGGAAACTAAAATTAAAGGAGGTACAGTATATGGGATGGAGGCTCTGACTGCCCAATTACAATTAATGACAGACCTGTTTCAACAGAGGTGGTCTCCCCTAACGAGTTATTTCTCTGCCTGAGAAAATCCCAGATCCTGTGATGTATGTGTGGTATTATTTTTAATATTACTATGTAGCCTTTATTATTTTACCTACTACTATATTGTCATTTCTTATTTGTATTTTCCTTTCCCTGTTTTGATTTTCAAATGGATGTATAGGGTCTGCAGTTTTATTTTTATTTTATCTTTTCCAACATTTGCTGATATGTACTGTCTTTGGTGTATATTGATACTGATGTGCTGTAAAGTGATGTACTGTAAGGTGTTTGTGTTGTTTTTTTTCTTTGTTCAATAAAAATAAAGTAAAAAAAAAATAAAATGCAGCCATTTTAAAGTTAAACCCCCTTTCAGTGCAAGTTTCAAGTTATTATTGGATCACAATTTAAATTGGGGATCATTTAAAAAAAATATTGATATAACTCTTTCTGTTTGTTTATACCTTGTTTTTAATCATGTTCCTCACTTTTTATTGTCATTTTCTGTCATACTCTGAAAAGCACTTTGGGCAGCGTCAAGCATGAAAGGTGCTATAAAAATAAAGTGTATTATTATTATTACTTCCCAGTAGCATTATGGGAGATTTTGGATCCTGCTCCATAACAGTCAGGGTGTTTAACTTTATTTCATGACTTTATGAAAGTGCAACACTTGGCTTTTTAAGATGTCCCACAGAGCATCCTACATTGATTTATATTGTTCTTTCTGACAGGTGTATGCTCTGATGGAAGACCTGGTGGACAACCTGTGTGACCTGACGGATGATCTTAAAGAGGGAGATGAACACACTATTACCACGTGAGAGGCAGGCACAGGATCCCACTGAATACATCATCCTATACCAAATGTAGGATCCATGTATCTCAGTACCAAATATTGTTGTAAAAATAAAAACACCTTTTTATTGTCATAAATGTGGCGTAACATTCATTCTGTGTCACTCACTGTCACACATCATGATGATAGTACCGCTGACTCTGGACGCCCCTGCCCCTCTCTGACGCTCTCCCGGTGTGATTGTGTATGCTGTGCGTGCGTGGCCTGCCGGTGCCGTATGCGTGTGTGGATGCCTGAGAGAGAGAGGGAGTGAGTGAGCACCGTGCTGTGGCTTATCCTTGTCCTATGCGGATTTCACCGCTGACTGTCTGCATGCCCGAGCGGCGCGCATCATCCACCGCAGGCAGCCACAGACTATTGATGGGAACACTGTGATCGGATCAACTTTCACGTTTACCGGATATAGGAGCGGATAGAAGGGGGAAAACTGCCCTGCTTGGCCGAAGGGGTTATTACCGGGACTTATAGAGGAGAGGATGCTCAAGGCGAGAGGTGAGCAATGGGCAAGGTAAGCGGCATGTTGAAATTACCAGGTTAGCTCTAATAAGTGTGAGTGGCTAAATAAACATGCTATCATTGAATCTGTATTGAGCCGTGCTGCCGAACAGATAACCCCACTTGGCCTTGCATAGGAATGTGTGTTACACATGGTAGCCCGCATAGGGAACCACCGCAACTGTGTGTGTGTGTGTGTGTGTGTGTGTGTGTGTGTGTGTGTGTGTGTGTGTGTGTGTGTGTGTGTGTGTGTGTGTGTGTGTGTGTGTGTGTGTGTGTGTGTGTGTGTGTGTGTGTGTGTGTGTGTGTGTGTGTGTGTGTGTGTGTGTGTGTGTGTGTGTGTGTGTGTGTGTGTGTGTGTGTGTGTGTGTGTGTGTGTGTGTGTAGGGGAGGTTGGGTAATGCATAATGCAGACCCACCATGGGCGCCCTCCTCCTATCCATCGTCACCTGAAAATACAGGATACCTGCTTTCTCAGCACGCATGCGCAGAGGGTGACGTCAGTTCTCTGTGTTGGGAGCTTCTTGACGCACCAGGCCAGGCCATGTCACTTTCTAAACGTTATCACTCTCACTTACTTACTTACCTACTTAGTTAGTGCTATTCAAATGATAGTACCTACAGCAGAGTTGAAGTCTAAGTAACCTACATTTACTCAATTATATTTGGAGGTAGTTTAGGCCTGCTACTTGAATCTACATCAGAGGGAAACATTACATCTTACTTTACTACATTATGTGAAGGCTTTAGTCCCTGGCAGTGGTGGAATGTAACAAAGTACATTTACTCAAGTAGTGTACTTAAGTACTATTTTTACATACCTCTACTTTCCATGTAATGCTACATACACTTTTACTCCACTACAAGTAGCCTATTGTACTTGTACTCTACTACTACATTTATTAAACACTCATAGTTACTAGCTACTACTTGGGTATATGAATACACATGATGTGATGCATTACTTTAATTCTTACAATACATAGTGTTTTAAAAAGTATCCGGAATTGGCTTGACAAACTTAAGTACAATTATTTGACATGTACTTGCTACTGATAAAAACACAATAATATTATACATTTTACTGATAATATTTCCGTACTACTATACTTCAGTAATAGTTTCAATTCAAGATTTGTATTTGTCATGGAGTATTTTAAGACCATAGTAATTCTGCCTACCTAGGTTATTTTTCCACCACTGGTTCCTAGTGACTGTTATTTTGTTCAGGAACGTATTCATATTTTGACTCTAACAGGAACTTTTCTGATAACCGTTTGAATCATTTTCTATACAAAACATGTCATGACTCCAACTGCTCAAATGTGAATTTGGTAACACTTTATATTAAAGGTGGGGTAGGTAAGTTTGAGAAACCGGCTCGAGATACACTTTTTGTTATATTCCATGGAATGCTCTTAACATCCCGATAGCAATGAATATCTTAAGTGCTTTGACAAAAAATCCATAAAAAAATGTAATCTGTGGAAGCCGTAGTACTGTAAAAAGCACGACCAATCATTTTAGCCGGCCCGACTAAAATAACTGGATGGCCTACCTGCCTGTCAGCTTTCCATCTGTGCACAAACTTATCTCGTGCCCTCATTGGTCATGTGTGCGTTCGTGTGTGTTGGAGGAGGGGCTCTGTAAGGAAGTGGCAGATTTGTTCCGGCTGTCTATTTTCAAATTCTAGCGATCTCAAGCCGGTTTCTCAAACTTACCTACCCCACCTTTAAGGTACACAAATTAACCATCAACTAGTTATGAATTAACATGCATATTAGCAGTATATTGGCTCTTTATTAGTCATTATAAAACACTTATTAATGCCTTATTCTACATGACCATATTCTACAAGTAATAAGCCATTAGTTGAGAGTTTTTCCTCAATAACCCTCTAATTAGTGCTTATTTATTGCAAGTAAGGAAGTTGTTGTACATTACATTACATTGCATTTAGCTGACGCTTTTATCCAAAGCGACTTACAATAAGTGCATTCGACCAAGAAGATACAAACTAGAAGAAAACAGAATCATATAAGTACATCAGGTTTCATAGAGCCAAAACATTTCAAGTGCTACTCAACTAGCTTTAGATAAGCCAGTCCTTTATTAGTATATAAGTGCTTTGTTAGTCATTTTATTGCTCGAAGTGGAGTCGAAAGAGATGAGTTTTCAGTCTGCGCCGGAAGATGTGTAAGCTTTCTGCTGTCCTGATGTCAATGGGGAGCTCATTCCACCATTTTGGAGCCAGGATAGCAAACAGACGTGTTTTGCTGATGGGAACTTGGGTCCCCCTCGTAGTGCGGGTGCAGCGAGCCGTTTGGCCGATGCAGAGCGGAGTGCACACGCTGGGGTGTATGGTTTAACCATGTCCTGGATGTAGGAAGGGCCAGATCCATTCACAGCATGGTACGCTAGTACCAGTGTCTTGAAGTGGATTCTAGCAGTTAGCCAGTGAAGGAAGCGGAGGAGCGGTGTGGTGTGGGAGAATTTAGGAAGGTTGAAGACCAGACGAGCCGCTGCATTCTGGATGAGCTGCAGAGGTCGGATGGCACATGCAGGTAGACCAGCCAGGAGGGAGATGCAGTAGTCTAGGCGTGAGATGACGAGAGCCTGGACCAGAAGTTGTGTCGCTTTCTGGGTCAGGAGGGGACGTATCCTCCTGATGTTGTAAAGAGTGTATCTGCAGCAGCGGGTTGTAGCAGCGATGTTTGCAGTGAAGGACAGGTTGTTATCTAGGGTCACACCCAGATTCCTTGCAGTCTGAGTCGGGGAAACAACAGAGGGGCCGATGTTGATTGTTAGGTCAAGAGTGGGACAATCTTTTCCCGGAAGAAAAAGCAGCTCAGTCTTGTCAAGGTTGAGCTGGAGGTGGTGAGCAGACATCCACTGAGAGATGTCTGCTAGACAAGCAGAGATGCGTGCGACGACCTGGGTTTCAGAACGGGGAAAAGACAGAATTAATTGGGTGTCGTCAGCGTAGCAATGGAATGAAAAACCATGCGGGCTAATGACCGATCCGAGCGAGTTTGTGTACAGAGAGAAGAGGAGGGGACCAAGGACAGAGCCCTGAGGGACCCCTGTAGTTAATTGACAAGGGTCGGACTCGGACCCTCTCCAAGTTACCCTGTAGGTGCGGTCTTCGAGGTATGAGGTGAGGAGGGAAAGTGCCTGAAACTCCAAGTTCTTGGAGAGTGCGAAGGAGGATCTGATGGTTTCACCGTGTCGAATGCACCAGACAGGTCCAAAAGGATGATGACAGAGGAGAGGGAGGCTGCTTTAGCAGTATGCAGTTCCTCAGAGACTGTGAGGAGAGCAGTTTCTGTGGAGTGACCTGCCTTGAAACCAGACTGGTGCGGATCCAGAAGGTTGTTCTGATGGAGATAACAGGAGAGTTGTTTAAAGACAGCGCGTTCAAGTGTTTTAGACAGGAACGGGAGGAGAGAGACAGGCCTGTAGTTTATAACATCGGACGGGTTGAGAGTGGGTTTCTTTAGGAGAGGGTTTACTCTTGCCTCCTTGAGACTGTTTGGAAAGTGACCAGAGGTTAGAGAAATATTGATGAAATGGGTGAGAAACGGTAGAATATCAGGAGCGATAGTTTGAAGGAGGTTTTGAGGGGATAGGGTCCAGAGGACAGGTGGTAGGATCACAAATACATAAAATCTGACATGTTTTGGTATGTGTCTGAACCTCTCTTGAGTGGTTCATTAATAAAACAGATATTTCAACGTGTGCCTACTTTGTTCATGTGCTGTTGAGGTTAATTTCAGTAGTTGTGTGCTATAATGTCTTTACAAAGTGTGAAGAGGAGGCAACTTTAGAATAGGGAACCTGTTCAGCTCAATTAGAGTCAAACTACTAGCTTATTGGTTATGAACAAGACTTCACTTTAAAATAGGGAACATATTATTAGATATAAATACCTAATTTTGAGTTATTTAGACACAATTAACACTTATAGTTTCATGTTACATAAGAATAGATCATATTTGTTAAGTGTTATTATGGGAGACTTACTATTCTTGTGGTACTACTAGGCCCATATTGAGCAGAGCATATTAAGACCCAAACTCATGTACAACAACTTCCTTACTTGCAATAAATAAGCACTAATTAGAGGGTTATTGAGGAAAAACTCTCAACTAATGGCTTATTACTTGTAGAATATGGTCATGTAGAATAAGGCATTAATAAGTGTTTTATAATGACTAATAAAGAGCTAATATGCATGTTAATTAACAACTAGTTGATGGTTAATTTGTGTACCTTAATATAAAGTGTTACCGTGAATTTTTCTTTTATTTATTTTAACATTGTGTTGTTAGGGTTGCAGCGTAGATGTGAAGGTTCCGCCATGGGCTTGGGGTAATGGTGACAGCATTTTAATTGTAAACGTTTTATAAACCAATCAATCAACGATCAAGGAATTCATCAGAATATGAATACATATAAAACAAAATGTAACAGTAAAATCTTACTATCTAATTAGATAATATTATTACAGTCATAGGGGACACTTTTTCTACATTAAATACCTTCAATACTTCTATTACATATTCCTCATTGGCCTACTTAAATACTTCTACTTAACCACATTTGAAATGCAGGAAATTCACTTATTACAGCGTTGTATTAGTGTTTCTACTTTGGTAAACAATCTGAATACTCCCTCCCTCACTGATTTACAGACAGCTGTCTCCCTGCAGTTGAGCATCACTACTCAAGTGTTTTGACTTCATCAGGTGACTCTTCTCGGAGTTGTTTTCATCTCGATGTAGTGACAGTAGCACAGATTGAAGTAGTCTACTACACCACCAGATGATTCATTTAAATAGAGCTCAAAGCTGTGAGTCATAACATATCAAACCACAATGGGTGCTGTCATCGTGTCCAAGGAGTTGTTGCAATACTCGCAGGCCGAGCATCCCAACAGTCTGTCTCTGGATGAAACTTGATCAAATACACACTCTGAAACTGAGCTGTACTTTATAACAGAAATGCCTTATTTATTATACTTGAGGATAGATTTGATCATTTTAATTTTGGTTTAAGAGCACATGTTGATGTTTGTGTAACTGTGCATATTCAATGTTGCACAATTTGATATATTATTTGCTACTTAAATCTGATCGGATGTGGCTTGGAATGGTTGGATTTTTAGAAATACTTTAGGACAGATGGAAGATAGTGGGGTATATGGGCTACAACTTGTAGCCCATATACTCCATATGTACTGCAAGTCAAATAGCATTGTTGGAAAATAACAGACGCTTAGTTAAGTATTGTATTTAAGTATAAATTTGACATTGTACTTACTTTATTTGATGCTACTTTATGTAGCATGTAGTATGTATACCATCTATACCAACTATATCATCTCAATGCAGCAATGGTAATGATTAATTTAAAATAAAAGTAAATGCTATTGCTAATGCTACTTTACTTTTAGATAAGTATAATTTTGTTATGGATTTGTTGTATAGGATTTGTTTATGATAGGAAATACTTCTTTCACCACTCTCAAATAGTGACTTTTAGCAGTCTGAAGGGTGGAAGCACATATTTGGTCCAGGGCTCACATGTATTCCTGGGAACCTTTTTACCAACACAGTCTCACGGCATTTCGTGTTATAGTCACGAAATTAATCTATTGATTCGTGTTCACCAACACGATTTCGCCATTTTTTTCGTGTCACACAGAACGATTTTAAAAGCAATGTAAATAATAACAAATTAGAAGGAAAAAGACATTTAAAAAAATACAGATTTAAGTATTCTGACACAGAACGATTTTAGAAGCAATGTATTTATATTGGTAGTATGTTTCGTGCCTGCACCAAATAATAACAAATTAGAAGGAAAAAAAGATGACATAAAATACAGATGTCAGTATTCTGAGGCTCTGAGCCATTTATTTTCCTCCCAGATGGCAAAAAAACTCAGACATTATACAATTTAAAATAAAAGGGATAGGGTTAGGCTTAGGGTAAGATATTGAGTAAGAACATGTTTTTATGAACCACACAGCTTCTGGTATTCCAAGACCCGACTGGACAAAAAGACGTGTTGCAGGCCACGAAACATACTACCAATAGAAATACATTGCATTTAAAATCGTTCTGTGTGACACGAAAAAAAGGTGAAAATCGTGTTGGTGAACACGAATCAATAGATTAAATTAATTTCGTGACTAATAACACGAAATGCCGTGAGACTGGGTTGTTTTTACAGCAGATTTTGAATTTGGGATTGAATTACTTCACATAAATAGCAACATAAATTCCTCCCTCTAACACACTTTTATGGCGCATTTCCACTACAGCGCGGAGCGCTGTTTAAGCGCGCCGTGCCGTGCACGGCCCGTTTTGGTTGCGTTTCCACTTGGCGTAGTACCGGCTAGCAGGTACTATTTCCCAGTTTTTTGGCCCCATAAAATCAAGGTTCTTAGCGGGCCAACAACGAGGCTGAGTCGGGCTGAATATGCTAAACTAGAGAGAGAATCGCTGGCAAGGGGGCTACTACAACTACAACAAAATGAACATATTTGACCGTGATTTAATTGTAATACACGTTTCAAAATGATGCCGAAGTAACAACATACTGATACCGGTTAGTAAAAAACCATGAATTAATGCTTTGACAAGTCTGCAAACAGACGGCAGGCGAAAAACCTTTTAAAATGCGTGTTTTCTGAATGGAGATCGGCTAAGCTAACGCAGTATATGCTCCGACCGTCCACACTCACAACAACGGCCTATACAGACATAAATAAAGCAGCGACTGTATTCACCATGACACAGACAGTCTGTGGTTTGTACTTGTTTAACTTTTGTCTAGTTTCTGAACAGATATGAGGAGCTGTGAGCTCTGAGTGCTAACAGCTAACGGCTGATGTTGTTTTTCTGTGGTTCGCATTGAAGATGACGTCACGGCTCCGCCTACACTGCGTTACTATAGTTACTGCCCAAGCTACTAAACTGTAATGGAAACGCAGCATAAAGTGAGCCAGTCCTAACAAGGCCTAACAAGGCCTAAATATACCGTACTAAGCCGAGCGAGGCCCTGCAATGGAAATGCGCCATTACTGTCGATTGGCCCCAGATTCCTTCCCCTTTTAGGGCTGTAATGCACACAAAGAATAATATTACTAAAACATTGTGAGGATCAGATAAAGGGATAGTTTTCAAACACCCTCGTGCAGTAGAGACAGCATCCGCCATTGAAAACCTTTGTGTGGGTTTGTCTATGTCCCGAACGCGAAGCTGAAGATGATTTCGCAGAAAGGTGATACTGGGTAAAGCTGCTGAGCTTTACTTTCTTCTCTGTGCCCTTCATTCTCTCCCTTTCCTGCACATGCACACAAACACTCAGAGAGTTTTCTGTCAGTGTCCCTGCTGTGTGTCTCAGTTCCTCTGCGCTTCTGCTGATGTTTGCTTTATCGACAGGATGAGGTTCCTGTGACTTCTTTCCCTGACAGCCTTTGTGTGTAGAGCAGCAGTGGACAGTGACATGAACATGAGATCAGTTACATGAAAATAGTCTTTTAAACGTCAATTATTGCTTGTTGCCCCAAGATGAAAGCAGCAGCAGTCTGTTAATAATATTCTCATGTTAGCCAAATGCATGGGCACTAGTTCAAGGGGCTGTTGAATGGATAGATTGTCAAAGGGTTCTGTCAAACAAAGGGGAGTACTGACCCCATTTCTTGGGTCTGATTCCAATTATTTGATAATGAGCATCTGCATACTGCTTTAACCCACAGTTCTATACGTTGCTAGAGGCACACATTTTTTTCCCAAGAGACTGGAATTTGGCATTGAGGTCAAGTGTGTGGGAGTGTGTTTGTTGTTATGCCAATTGGCAAAAAGAGTGTGTGGCAGTAGGGGTTGCCTATATCAAAAAAGTGCAACATTTCTACACAGATTCACAGGCCTTGGCCAATGTCATCAAATGTTCAGACTTTTGTGAGTAGCATTCATACATACTGTTAAACAAGTTACTAAAGCAAGTCAGGTGTTTCTTTTATCTGAAGATGATGGCCCCAAGATAGATAATGCTAAGAATGTAAACACATCACCTCTACAGTACATTGCCATTTTAAAAAATAACGTTGTGTGTTAGCTGATCACTGAAGGAAAGACTTTTAGTTTGAGGTCACCAGAGGTCAGCTTTACTTTGGTAAGCACAGTGTGTTCAGTGTCAGGTCACAGGGAGTTGTATCAGAGGATAGTGGGAAGTATCACTGGAGAAAAGTGTGACAGGAAACCTGAATGATCGATTCCCCTCCGTCCTCTCTGAATTATGGACTCAGAAGAGAAATGGGTTATGGTGTGTGTCTGTGGGCAAACAGGCGTGTGTGTGTTGGCCTGAATAAATTAAGCTGCCAAGAAGCTCCATCAGACAACCTGAGTGCCAAGCTTCTGTATGACCTACTTCCTGAGCAGGGAACCAGTGTTGAGCCACTCACTCAGTCACTATCATCAGTTTATGTGTGTATTCCTCAGTGTGCTCATTGACGCTATTAACAACACACACTAATACACATGTCGCCATACATAACATGGACACAACCATCATTAATAACAACTGGTTTGCATATGTTTCATATTCATATTAATAATCATTGTATTATTTAGATGTTTCTATTGCTTTGTTAATTTGGTCTAAATTCTAAAACCAGTCTATTGCTGTGTTTATGTGTTTGCCCCCTTGCACGGATACAAAAAAACCTATATTTAGCTAATTAGATCGTCCCAAAAAGAAGAGAAGAATGAAGTTATTTCTAGAGTTTACTTTTATTCATATAATATCTGGTTTTTCTTTCTTACAGGGGCGTCCTATAACTCCTGACAGAGAAGAGGAGCCTTTCATTGCCATAGCTACCTCTCCTCCCCTTGTCCACGTTCCCCCTTTCACCCCGTCTCTTCATCTGTTAAGTGTTGTTTTTTTACATTTTGCTATCCCTCCACATCCTCCATAACCTGTCACCCATGACAACCTCAGCCCTGCGCCGGCAGGTGAAGAATATCGTGCCACAACTATTCAGAAGCGGAGATCAAGGTAGCCTATTAAAAACAAGCTGTACGTCATTCTGATTTAGTGTCCATGTGTCTGGGAAAGGGTAAACGCCTTTAAATCAATGTTGAGTCATATCAGATCAATTAACGTCAGAACACAACTTCATCTAACTATAAACTTGCTTTGACATCTGTTATTTCTCATTGTTTATGATATGGTTACTTTGGATGAGAAAGAAAATGATATGCATACAAATATGAGAAGAAAAGATGTCAATGATCCTCTGTTGGTCACGTGTAGGTTCGTGAAGCCACTTCGAGATGATCCATGGGGCCCGTCCTCGTCTCTCATGTCAGAGATCGCTGACTTGACCTTCAATGTGGTGGCGTTTGCTGAGGTCATGGGCATGGTGTGGAAACGCCTGAACGACAGCGGCAAGAACTGGAGGCACGTTTACAAGGTGACCTCATGAGAGATTTCTTTCAGATTCGGCTGCTCAGAATATTTATAAATCCTCACTGTGTACAGTAACATGTTTCACTTCCTTCTTCTCGCTTCCCTCTGACCGCTGGCCTCTCACCACCATTTCCCGCCCTTCACCTTTCTCCTATTTGATGATTGACTGAGGTTGACATCTGTCGTTTGGAATTAAACACCTTTCCAACTGTAATGGATTTTGACAGATATTAGAGAACATATTCCCCACAGCTGTACTGTCCCTCTCGTGAAACCAGTAGGTTACATTTTCACTCATCCTGACAAATGTCACAATATCGACTCCATGAATTGTCCCAAAAATTGTAAAAAGATATTATCAACAGTGCGTAGATAAGGTATCTTGCTGACTTAGACCCCGTTTACACGGGGACGAAACGGGTTGTATCCGCATAGTTTATCTTGCGTATAGCCCTTTCGTTTACACGAGGCCGTAACAAAACGAGAGGTGGGTGTTTTTCATCTGCTGGTGGACTACCGGGGAGAATTACAACAGGAGCACACGCCGTCCACCGCGGAGAATAAACAGAAGGGGCAACCATGGCAAACCATGCTCCGGGGTCTTCTTCGCTGCTTTTGGTGTATTTTGTGGCGGCAGCAGCGCCACTTACAGGCCTGGCATATGTACTACAGCGTTTCCAGCGTTTCCAAGCGTTTCCAGCGTTTCCAGCGTTTCCAGCGTTTCCAGCGTTTCCAGCGGTCTCGTGTGAATGGACACGTTAAATTAATCGAATGCGTGTGAACGCATACGGTGCGTAAACGCAAACGTTCCCCGTGTAAATGGGGTCTTAGGGGATCCTCTGACTTTCCTCTTGGGCCACAATGTGCTCAATCTAAAAACCCATTAGCTTCCTGTAGCTTATGGATATCAGGTCAACACTTCCTTTTTAATGTTGTTGTTTATAGTGCAATTTGCAACTTCAGAGGCATGGAGTTGGAAAGGAATTAGAGTTGAGAGACTACGTCCATAACAGGGTTGTTTCTGAAGTCGCCATTTCAGAGCTAATTCTAAGCTAATTTTAAGCTAAAATTACATCAGTTTATAGTTGATAGATTCCAGGACTTATTGGGCCCATGCATCCCACCACTTTAGCTCTCCAGCCGGACTGTTTACTTGCATACAACTAAAGCCCACACATTTTGGCATGCTAGCAAACTAAAACAAACATCCTAGCATTAGTATTGTAAGTATTTCAGCATGTTAACATAAGCCTTTAGCTTACCTGTACAGCCTCACACATTGGCTAACACAGCTGCAGACTCTCCTGCATCCATGTCATTGCAGATCGCCCTGTACAGTAGATTTGTGTATGATATTAATGTACTATCAGTGTATTAATCAGCTTTTGACTCCAGGCCCTGACTCTGTTGGATTACCTGCTGAAGACAGGATCAGAGAGAGTGGCCCAACAGTGCCGTGAGAACGCTTTCACTATTCAGGTACTGGACTGCAACAGGAGGAGAACCTCATCAATGTGACAGTCTCAGGAACAGAGCTGCTTTATAGTTTAGTAGTTTGTAATTAGTTTCAACCTTGGAAATCACTACTCTTTCTGGGGTCCATGATCAGCAAATAGTACACTATATGTACTGCTGTGGTTTAAATGACTTTCAAACATTGAATAGAACAATTAACCCCTAAAATATATTCTCTAAATTCACAAAGTCAAACAATCTTTGTTTCCCACATACAATTTGAAAATTACGAAAAACAAAAAAGATCTATAAAAAAACTGAGATTATCCTTTTCAAAGGAGAATGAACAAACCATATTTCCTCACATACTGTATAGTGTTCTTTTCTGAGATTTAAATTATTGGGGTTTTCCTACATCTTCATTACCACAGCTTGAATTGTATTTCTTTAAGTAAATGTCATCCTTCAAATATAATTAACATTTATTTTATGTATGTGTGGTTCAGACGCTACGTGACTTCCAGGTACATGGACCGTGACGGCAGAGATCCAGGGGGCCAACGTGAGGGAAAAAGCCCCGCCAACTGGTAGTGTCTCCTTCGGGACGAGGAGACTGCTTAGGATCAGGAGGGAGGAGTCAGGCCTGAAGACCAAGGAGCGAATGGCTGGGGGAGGGCAGTGGAGGGAGCGGAGGGGTGTATGGAGGTATACCCACCATGTCTTACCACCCAGGCAGGCGGACAAGCCAGCCCAGCATGGCTGTGCTTTACTGGGAGGAGTTCAGCCGCTCCCGAGGCTCTCCATCTTCATTAACTGTGAGTTCTAAGGGTATTTAAAACTGCAATAACTTACATTCTGGGCCACATGGGGCAGCAGAAACAATTTGTGAACACAGCAGCTACATATCATCCCTTTTAAATGTACTTGGCGGGAAGCGAACAGTTACGGAGCAACATTTACAATTGTTGAAGTTGTGTTTTCTGCCAACGTGGCCACCAGTATTTCCATTCGTCAATGTCTTTAGCTCTGTGTTATATCTGTCTCTAAGCTGCTAAGTACTCCACTGTGTTCACCAGCTAGTCACTCAATGTGTCTGCTGTGTTGCTTTACAGATAGTATACAATAGGTTTTTTATAGCAAAATGTAACCCGCTCATCAATGGAGTAGGAACATTTTGAATACCACAAAACAGAAAAAAAGAACACAGTTTGAAAACATTTCTAATAAAGCGTAAATCTCCTTTAATTGCCGCTTGTCCATGATATCATCCAGTATGACGTCCTCTTTGGCGTTTTTGTAGTGTACTAAGCTTTAATATGCTCTTTACTGCACACTGAGGATGGAAAGCTAAAAATAGCCTTTTAAACAATGTTATGCAAAGGTGAGATTTAAGCTGGAAGTGTTCACAAAGCGTCTCACAGCTTAGTGAATTAAATGTACATCCAGCTTCCGTATGGGACTGTCTCTCATGCACTATGTGAGAGACAGTCACTGGGCTTGCATTTAGACTACTTTGCTGAAAAACAGCTGCCTGCTGCGACTGAAAACAGCACTTTGAAGGATGTGGAAAATGGATCACAACAGTAGCGTGCCCAGACAGCTGAACAATGAGCTGACCCTTGATATAAGCTCTGTAAAGCTCAGGGGAGCTCCATACTCTGGTGATAATTGTCCTTGGTTTATCACTATCAGCTCCTTTGACATTGTTTTTGTTTCATAAATATTGATTCACTGCTTAAAACTCTGAGCTCATCTAGAGCACAGAACAGCTAACTTTATGTGTTGGCAGTTAAGTGGATGAAGAATTCTTCCCATTGTATTCACGCTGATACCCAATGAAATGCATTTTAGGTGCTGAGCCGAGCATTTTGGACAATCCGCCACATTGGATTATCAATACTGCTGCGTGGGCATGAAAATATTCAAATGAGCCCCCCACTTCCTGTGCTCTTTGCCTCAGTGCGTCATTCAACCCCACGTCAATCTGACAATTTTCTCATCATACACACTCATTGCTTCCTCACTAAAACTCCTTCCCTTGTTCCCTCTGCAGCCTCGTCCTCGTCCCCTCGCGCCGCCTCAGACCTGGAGCAGGCTCGACCTCAGACCAGCGGCGAGGAGGAGCTGCAGCTGCAGTTAGCTTTAGCCATGAGCAGGGAGGAGAGTCAGAAGGTAACACACACACACATTACAACATTGTGTAATCTCCTTCATCTCTCAGTGACAGCATACTCTCCCTCCACACACAGACCTTCCTCTGCAGCCACATGTCTCGTTGCCTCTTCATGATTCCAAAAGGACAATTTTGGTAGAAATGTTCCGAACATACGCCCACTTTAATCTAGCTAGCCCTTCCTTTCCCTGTTACCATAGAGATGGATGAAGACACACAACTACAGATTGCTCCAAGCCTTCTCCTAAAGTAGCCTGAGCAGTTACACACACAGAAACACCTCACTACACAACTCACCATTCAGTGTCAGCATTTATTAACCCTCTAGTCGAGTGTGTCATAGGACTCATTCTAAGTAAACTGCTTATTTGTTGCCATCCAGTGATTTCTTCTTATTTTTGATAGCCAGCTAACTCCTTTAAATATCGACCGGCTCTCAAACACTTGGCCTGCATTCAACGCGTATTTTAATCACAGGTTTATATGTGGAATCTTTTATTTCGTCAACAAAATTGTTGAAAGAAATCAACCGAAATCCAAATGAAATGTTTGTCAATCATTATGAACCCACAGTAATTGAGTTGAATATGATATAAAACAGAGAAAATCTCCATAATACCCATTTCTGCCATTTTGATTGTAAAATGACTTCACTGATTAGTTGATTGTCAAAATAGAAGGCATTATGTTTCCCTAAATCAACTAATCCATTAACCACCTTGTCGTTGTTGTTCTTTCAAACATACATCCCTCTTTCCTCGCACAAGTATAATTTAATCTTCTCCATCTACAGTAAAAACATCCTCTGTGTTGCTCTGATCCAGCCTCTGCTCACTGTCAACTAAATATTTCATCTGCACAAAAAAAGCCACCAGCGCTGCCTCTGTTTCACGTGTGTGTGTGTGTGTGTGTGTGTGTGTGTGGTGTGTGTGTGGTGTGTGTGTGTGTGTGTGTGTGTGTGTGTGTGTGTGTTGTGTGTGTGTGTGTGTGTGTGTGTGTGTGTGTGTTGTGTGTGTGTGTGTGTGGTTGTGTGTGTGTGTGTGTGGTGTGGTGTGTGTGTGTGTTGTGTGTGTGTGTGTGTGTGTGTGTGTGTGTGTGTGTGTGTGTGTGTGTGTGTGTGTGTGTACGCACGTGTTTGTGTGTGTCCACGCTCATAACCGCGGCAATAATGTTGATGTCACGATACCGCCCCTGCAGGACCAGTGCTGTCGCCAAGGAGACGAGTCTCTGTTACAGAAGGCCCTGGATGAGAGCAGGAGAGAGAGTGAGTCGGGTACACAGGAGGTGAGTTTTAGAAACACGTGTGCTCTGTACAGCATGTGTGTGGGTGCATTCGTGCTACACCAGGGTGAGCGGGTGCATGTGTAGGTTGTTTTTTTGGCAGGCATTAAGAGAATGAAGTGGAGTTTACTGTGAGGGAAACTAAACAAAAAGACATAGATCAGCATAACGAGGGAGGTTTGAGAGAGCTGAGAGAGGAGAAAGAGGTGCCTGCTGAATGACAATGGCTTTGTCTCGTCTAACCTTGAGCTCAGCATAACATTTTCCCTGAAAGCATACTCCTTATCTGTTAAGCCCATAGCCCCTGCCGGCGGGCTTTTTTCACGAAACTGTGTCTCAGGGCTTCTTAACATTTAACAACCTATGAATGTGTCCTACCCACTTAACGGGAAGAAACTCAGCTAACTGACAATATGAACCATTTTTACCGAAACAAAACACAAGTCTAACGCTGAGCCTCTGAATTAGCACTAAGCGAAAAAATGCTAACGCAATTAGCACAGAACGCATCGGTAGAAATATTTTATACTTCATCGGTTCTGCACAAACTAGATATCATACGAAAGATGAGATTCCACAGATTCCAATGGTATAAGGTATCATCACTCCACGACCAAAACTCGCGGCAGCGAAAGCCAGCAAAGACTACACACAACTTCACTTTACGTAGCCAAAACGGCAAATATGTCTTACCTTTGCTGTTTTCTGATCAAACGTTGTGTTCAAGGGCATTAAAACGCAGATAAACGCTGCTGAAGGTTAATCCAATGTCTCTGTGTCACTTTGAAATGATTACTGATAATCCATCATCATATTTATGGCAATAAGCCTATAGTTTTCAGTTTTCAGAACGTAACATAGCTTTTGGTTTGGGCAAACTGCGTGTGCATCACTCTCACTCCTCATGGTAACGTGTAGGTGGATTTAGGATTCCCTCTCGATTCTATTGGCTCTAAGGGTTCAAAAGTGGTGTCAATCACCAAAATCGACCAATGGGTTCCAGAGATATGGCAAATTCACCCAAATGACCCCAGAGGTGGGTTTTCTTTTTCTAAACCTCTCTAAAAAGGTCAAATTGAACTTGTTTTGCATCAATTTTGATACAGGGTACTTATTATATGTTATAGTTTGGATTCCTAAAGCTTTTAGTCTACTATCCCATCTTTCAAGGGTGGTTTTCACTATAAGTAATGGGTTTTTTTTGGACGGAAACTATAATTTACATTTTTTTACTATGTTCAATCTGAATTTACTTTAAAATTTAAAAAATCTATATTGATTCTGACTTTTCTACATCCAACTCACAGGTTTATCATTGCTTTGAGAAAAAAGATTATTAATTTACCCCTTTTAGAAGTGAAGATATAGTCATTTGTTCAGGGAATGTCATTTTCGAGCCTGAGACCTGAAAAACAGGCTTGGGGCTTAACAGGTTAAAGCACACCAGCTCTTTTCCTCATTGCCTATCAACAAGCCAATCAGAGTCGCCATCTGTCTTATGTAAAGGTCTCTAGGCCTTGTAGTCGGTCATGTAACGTTGTTTTTCGTAGAATTGGTGGTACTTTTAGGTGCCCTCCTCTCTGACTGACGTTATTCCTGACAAATTCTGCGCTGCCGGCTGCTGCAGAGTAAACGAAACAAGGGAGTTCTGTTGCAGTCTGAAAAATCCCCTTAAGCATTATTCACTGCAATATGTCACTGTATCTCTTTGCCAATACACACACAAAACCAAACAAAATATATGCATATTGTGCCAAAGCATCTAATATACCTATTTCTGCTTTTTAGTATATACAGGCTGTAAAATAACAGAAACCATTGAATACTTATATAACTATCAAGGATGCTTAAAACAGTTGTTATAAATGTGTGCTTTCATTCTAGCTTGTGCATATTCATACTCAAATAAAACAACATTTAGTGAGCTTTAATATTCCTAATAAGTGCATAAAGACAGTCAGTATCACTTCAGCAGATCTTCACTGTTCGTGAAAACCGTGCATCTGTAAAACATCATCTTTTTTAAATGTACAGCACAATGGGACAATGTCTTATATTTTTATTTCGAAATTTTGGATGATTTAATCGGCTTAAGAAATATCAAAATGGTGTCTTAAGATACACAATCCTCCAGGGTAACGGGATATCCAGTAAATGTAATTGTTGGAGGAACATGGTTTTGATTGCATAGTGATGAAGTACACATTGCACACATTCACATATATTTTGAAGTAACGTATCAGAAAAACTGTATAGAAATGGCAAATTCAATAATACGTCCTTGTCTTGATGCGTTTGAGGATTATCTAAATGCCTTGCTATTTAAGTTCTGACTTAGCTAACAATGACTTACATGAATGATCACCTGTACCTACTGTTGGCGTCTTCCCTGATATTCCTCTAATACGCAAATGCATATCCTGACTCAGGAATGCATAAAAAAATGGCCAATAGTATAGACATGCTACAAAACGTGCCAAATTTTTAAAAAAATCTTAAGAGATGCATATACAAAAACCTGACTCGAAACAGTCAAAATTCTGTCTCTTCTATCTAAATTAACAGATCTGCCTGCTGA